GAACACACTTTTGCCGTGGATAAACGCATAGTCGTGGCCCCAACGGATTGGAAGTGGTCATGCCACGCCAGCTTCCTTGGAGATGGCTCACGTCGTCTCTTGGTGACACATTGCCACGGATATGGTTAGCCGCGACACGATTAAATGCGCTCCAACAGGTCCACCTCCTCATCCGATCACAGCCACATGTGTTGTGGATTAACAGTCGCGCCGCTCACTCGGCCGACGAGGTTCTAGATTGGAGCTTCTAGATTGGTGCGTTAGTGCTAGCCCTGAGTTTTAGCTACCAAAAGTTTCAAAATCGAGCCCAGGCTACCCTGCTGCCAAACTTGTTTCCTTTCCAAGCCTTCTTAAATATAGTTTGTCAAGATTGTTGCTCTCAAAGTTTAGGCGTCTTAAACGTTAGTCTGAACAGGTCCAGTTGCAATATTGGGGAGTTGAAATACCTAAGCGGGACAACAGATGAACCTGCTTGACTCGGTTTGTTGGCCATACAACATATGCGCCATTTAGTTCCGACTCAACCCTTAGTGCAGCCGTTTTTTCCCCTACAACACTCTCGGATAGTCCTTCCTATATTTTGAAATCAAGTACGGCATAGCCTGGTATCTGTTGACCATATACAACAGTGCTCACGCAAAGAGCCTGAAACTTCTGTACCAAAATGCCCGAAGTTTTAAAACGAAATCGGACTTTCAGGGACTAGATCGTCTCTAGTTGCAAAGCCGGGCAGCCCGCAAATCGTAAAGCAGGAGAAATGTGTGATTTTTGTTGCACCTTTGTGGAATTCGTAATAGTGTGACACACGTACTTTGGGCATGAACAGATCTCTGGGCCAACATGGTTACAACGAAATTACCCTTCGGGGTCATTGTACAAATGGGTAGGCACCCTTGAATAAAATTACGTGGGAATGACCACTAGTTATGACTGTCGTCGCGCCATTAAATTCTATCCACTTCTTTGGTTTGAGGCTGGGGAAAGTTCACTGTTTCACAGCCGTGCGTTCCCACCTGGCACCAACCACACCTAGATTTCCCCTGCGCGGAGCAGCATTTTCCACCTTCAAACCACAAGCAGATGATCCCAAGGGCGTCGCGTTTCACTATTTCTTCGCCGTTTCGCCAGTTTAGCCGTTGAAGCCACAATCGTCCTTGTTGCTTCTGCTCTGCTGGTTATTTCAGTTGTTCACTCAAACCCTCATCTACTCCAGCTCCACCAACCCTGACCTTAGAAAATCAACCCTGCTCAACTTCCCTGTCTGCTCTAACAACTCAATACTTGAGCAACAAAAGCAAGACTTTTTTAGCAGCTCCCCAAGCTTCAGTTTAGAGACTTCCACTATGGCTGTCGCCTTGACCAGTTCATACATGAGCGAAGACTTTACCTCAGAGCCCGTGAGTTTCCGTCAAGCTTCATACCCTGACTTTATCGACAGCTGCTCAGCAGCGGCCTCTGCCCAGCCTCTCTCACCGCCTTCACTATCTTCCATTTCACACTCCGACTTCCCCAACCATCACCAACAACAGCAACCATCATCGACCTCAAAACTCCACCTTTCCCGACAATCGTCCGGCCGCCAACAACAAAGCCACAGCAACCATGGTCAATCCTTCCGTTCGCTCCCTTGCATCCGGTCCGGAGTCTCAGTCCATCCCGTCAGGAAGAACGGCCACGTAACCCTGATGGAGATCCGAACTATTTCTACTGTCGCCATCCGCTGCGTCCGGCAAAACGGCCGTCTCATGATGGAAAAGACCCATCGCGGACCTTCTATGTCACCATCGGGACGCCTCACGCCCAGCGGTTCCATTCGGTCTCCAACTTCGGAGTTAAGCCCTCCATCGTCGGCTTCGAGCTCTCGCCGCTTTTCTGGATCGTACGCGTCACTGGATGCATCCGTTAACGGCAGCGCGTGTTCGAGTCCATCCAGGTCTCCGTTCGAGCCGTCGCTGAGGAAGGCGGTGAGCGGAAGCAGCTCTGTTCCCGCTGTGACACTGACGACTGCACCGCGTAACCTGTCTCGGTCGCAGACTCTCCCGAGAGATTTCGATCAGGTCACTGTCGCTCGCTGATACAGCATGGCAGTGTGAAAGCATCTGGTTACCGCACACGCAACGATTTCAACCTCATGACGTGCGAAGGCTATGCTCTTTTAAATAATGTGCGGATGATGGGGAACAGACAGCGAGCAGCTCGTGCGTCGTCCACCGCGGCATCGCGAGAGTGTTACATCGTAACCACGCCCGCGCGTGGAATTTTCTGCTACGCTTTGCGAATCTGACGCTGTTTCCGCCTTTAGCAGGCACCTGATTGGTGACTGTTGACGTGTACAGGGCCTGCTCTAGGCTTTATGATGAGTAGTATGACTGCAGACACCTGTGCCTTGATGCATAGGGCGCTGCGATTTTTTTGGGCCATCCCCCAACGCAGGGTGCTGCCATGGTTGATGTGCCTCCTAACTAGCTGGTGTCAAAGTTGTTTTAGTTGGAATATATGCTGATCATTTTTCCACTATTTGCACAAAATTAATCGGTCTCTGATATGGTCTCTAAAAAATCCTAAGGTCTTCTCAGCCCAAGAGTGCCTATTATTAAACTCAATCACGTAGGGTAGTATACTAATGTGATCTAAAAAATGCTAGACAGTCAATGCTGAATTCTGAAAGTTCATGGATTCAGTATTATAACTGCTACTAAACACCTGCAGGTATGAGTGTTGTGATTGGCCCTTAATCAAATTTGAACACATTGGCCAATCGGAGACCTCATACAGCCTACATTGCTCGCCTGTCTGCAGTCGGTGTTCGCAAAGCAGGTTTCCGCATCACCAGGAATGGAGGGTGGATGTCTGCTATCACCCCTTCGCATTTTTCTCGGTCAGCCCACGATTTTCGATTATGGAGCACCTACTGATCCGCATCCGACGGTTGACAGAGGCGTCAGGCAATGAAACGCGAGTGCTGAACGGTGCGCCTAGCACTTCATCGCATTCAAAGCCGGCTGCTGGGGAGCTTGCACGTCGTGCTGTCCCTTTCTGCCGAAGCGCTGCTGTGTGTTTGTTAACGCGTGAATAGTACCGTCACGTCGTTTGACATTCAATCTTTGAAAATTTCTCAGAGATTGGCCGTCTCTTGCAGTTATCATATGGAGCCTGCGCACAACATTTTTTTCTCATCGCTTCAGTCATTCGCAAGAACCTCAGGCTCTGCAAGACTGGAAGGGGGAGCTGACGGCAATCACGCTACCAGAAGGTCGAATACTGGCAATTTTCCAGATAAACAGCAACGACTGCATCGACGAGAAAATTGCCGACCGCCAGATTAGTTTTGCAAAATGCGGATTCATTTCCTCGCCGGGAGAAACGTCATGGATCAACGCGACATTCGTATACTTCGCCGACCACGCCATCCATGAAATTTGCCCGCATGCTAACGGAACGGATGGTTCCGTCGAGCCTAGTCTGCTGCGGATCTATTACGACACGCACAGCGTAGATCTTATCGTGCGGAAGCTTCATCAGGCGTCCTGGGATGGGCTAGTGTATGCTGCAGCAGCTGAACCCGAAGGCCTATATGTCTGGGCGAAAGGCATTGTTAACGTTCACAACAGAAGTCTTCACGGTCAGGTCAAGTGCCTGGTGGACGGAGTTGAGACCGCTCCCTTAATGCTCTCCCAGGAGATCGCACTCTGCCCGAATGCTCAAGCCAACGTAATACGTTCAGAATGTGGCTGTCGCAACACTCCAGTCACACTATCAGTGCGTGGAGCACCTTTGCCCTCTGTAGCTTCCGTCTGTAGGCCCAATTCCACACTCGATTCTACCAGCTTAGTATCTGGTGAGCCACCACAGGCAGCCAACAACAGTCACGCCAGCCGAAGCATCCGCCTCGTTCTTCAAAACGGGTATTTCCATACCAGCACATCCAGTGGCGATCAACCGGTGAAGCAGCACTACCTGTGTGCATGCACAAAGGTCCTTGACAGCGCGAAGTTCATGGGGGAGTGGTTGCTGTACCACGGATTTCTTGGTGTGGAGCATTTCTTTGTGTATGACAACGCCAGTGAAGACGGGCTTCGGGAGTCCATTTAAGAAGCTCAGGGGATGGGCCATGCAAGAGGCTTTGGGATTTCAGCCACTATACATAGCTGGCCCTGGATCAAGTCTCAGGAAGGCTGTTTTTCTCATTGTGCTCTACAAGCCAAGAAGCTGTGCACGTGGGTCATGTTCATTGATGTGGACGAGTTTGTCTTTCCGGCAGAAATGGTGAAGAAAATCGAGTCACAGAAGCTCGCTGCAGCTGGTAGTCAGTATGCTTTTCTTCTCCCCAAGTTTGTGAAAAGTATGGCCAAGAACCATACTGCAGCAGCAATGGTTGCAGGTGGAAACGATTCGTGTCAGAAGGTTGGCCAGATTGTTCTGCCCTGCCTCTTGTTTGGCCCATCAGGCCACCGAGAGCACTCAGAAAAGGGAGTTATATCTGGGTACACGTGCAGGCTGAAGTTTCCCAATCACCACAAGTCACTGATCCTGACTGAAGCCATAGCTCCTCCACTACACAACGTGATACATCACTTTACAAGCTTGGAGCGTCAATATTGCAGATAGAATGTGTGGCATACGCAGGGAGCTATTTTCCACTACAAGTTCCAAGCATGGCCCGAATTCAAGACCAAGTTCAGGAGGAGAGCTTCCACTTTTGTTGCTGACCGGGCACAGATGGATAGAATGCAATCCAAGGATCGGGTTCCTGACTTGGGTGTTGAGGCAATCGAGCCAGCTGATTGGAAAAATCGTTATTGTGAGATGGAAGATTACAGGTTGAAGCTAATTTCGGCACAAATTGCATCAGCCACTTCCCGCTGGCACTTGGAGAGCGCGCCACATTTTTGAGAAATTGTTTTCCACATGTGGACTAGTCTGATTACCATATGTGCACTATCTATGGTGAATAACTGGCAAAACGTCAAGAAAAACGAATCTACATTATGATTTGAATCTCAGAACTCAAGGTCATCCTCTACCACAATCTCAGGCAACGGGCCATCAGAGTCAGAATCAAATCCAGTCGATGCAGCAACTGAAGTTGCAGCACCACCAGATGCATCCCTCCCTCTCCCACCACCAACACCACCGCCACCAGTGGCACCAGTAGCAGCAGCAGCAGCACCGGCAGCAGCAGCAGCAGCAGCTGCAGCACGACCAGCACCAGCACCAGTAGCAGCAGCAGCACTGCTAGCTCCAGCACCACCTGCAGAACCAGCTTGCCCTTCTTGTCCTATTGCTACAACTCCACTGGAGCCCAAACCCGAACCTGCAGCACCTGAACCTGGAGTTCCCGAGCCTCCAGTCCCTAGGTAGCCAGACTCCTGTAGCATGCGAGCTATCGCAGCAGCCTTGGTTCGGGATTCCCGCGCCCTCCTGGCAGCCTCCAGCCCAGCAGCATCTGCCTCCTCCACGGTGGTTACCACCTTTCTTGCCCCGTAACCTGAAGGTGCCGAACCTGCGAGCGCCGAACCCCCCCCAGTCCGAGCCTGCTCTTTGCCCTGCCTCCCTGATCCTGATCCGCTAGTCGTCCCACCAGCGCCAGCAGCACCAGAAGCACCCGCAGCACCGGCCCCAGCAGCACCAGAACCAGTACCAGCAGCAGCAGTACCTTGGTCGTTTTTAGCAGCTCCTCTCCTGCTCTTACCAGCAGACCCAGTGCTGCCAGCAGGAGCAGCAGACGCAGCGGGGGAAGCACCGGCAGAGGCAGAGGGGGACGAGGGGTCATTGGCACTAAGGAATCGGGCCACAGCCGGCGCAAGCGTTTTAATGAAAATCTCCTTCCCCACATCTCTACGCTTCCCTCCCTTCTCTGCTCCTCCCGCTCCTCCTCCCGTTCCTCCGCCTCCTGCTCCTGCTCCCCCACCTGCTCCTGCTGCTGCCCCTTTTCCTCGCTGATTCGCTCCTCCTCTCCCACACCCTCCTCCTTTGTCACTCTGTGATGAAACTGCCGGCGCTGCAGCTGCTCCTGCTCCCGCTGCTGCTTCTTGTTGTGGTGCTGGGACTGCACCAGCAGCAGCAGTGGCCGTGGCAGCTTGCACAGGCGCAGGAGCAGCAGGAGGAGGGGCAGCAGGAGGAGGCATGGGCATGGCAGGAGCGGCAACAGCAACAGCAGCACCATCAGTATCCATCGGCATGGCTGCTGCTTGTCCCTCCATGGACCCGAAACCATCAGATGATCCCAAGGCTGCTCCAGTTGCTGCCTGTCCTAGCGCAGCGACCGTGTTACCTCCCCGTGTGGTAACACCTGCCCCACCAGTACCACCTGCGGCAGATGCGCCTCCCCCGATCTCCATCAGGTCGTGCCCGAATGTGCCATACCCGTCCACTTCCGTCCACAGGTCTGCTAACGGCCAGACATCGCCGCCCAGCGCTCCAAGCCCTGTGGTACCACCCCCCATTCCGCCTCCCATCCCGCCTCCCATTCCGCCCTCCATCCCGCCTCCCATCCCCCCACCCATTCCTCCGCCCATCCCTCCGCCCATCCCTCCGCCCATCCCCCCACCCATTCCCCCGGTGAACCCTCCACCCCCGCCCCCAGCTGCTCCAAGCATCCCCCCATACGCCCCAACTCCACCTCCTCCTCCTGCTCCTCCATCCACCATTCCCCCACCCATGCCCCCGCCTATTCCCCCGCCCATCCCCCCACCAGCACCCCCTCCCACAGCAGCAGAGAGATTCATAGCCATAGAGCCAGGGACAGGCTGCAGGGCGGCAGAAGGGGCGGCAGCAGGGGCGGCGAGAGTCGTCTGGGCGGCGGGCGGCAGCAGGCTGCCGGAACTGGCTGGCCGGCTGGCAGAAGGGGCGGGCGAGCCCCCCAAACTCTGCTGCTGCTGCTGCCGCAGATTCTCCTGTTGCAACTGCTCCTGCTGCATCTGCTGCTGCTGCTGCTGCTGCTGCTGCTGCTGCTGTAGGTTCGGCGGGGGTTGCGACGGGACGAGAAGCGACGAGAGCGGGTGGATGGAGGACGAATGGGGGAGACACCTGGGATGCAACACCGGCTCGAGAGCCAGCAGAGCAAAGGAGCAGAACGCAGCTACCTCCGTCCCCAGCTGTTGCCTCCCCTGCCGGAAGATTCTGAGTGCTTGCCCGAGGTACGGTGGGCGGTACTTGCACGGGGCTAGGAGGGAGGCCAGGAGGGCGCGGGATGCTGCCAGCTGGAGCGATCTGATTGCACGGTCGGACCCGGGCGTCCAAGGCATGTGCGCGTGCGTGCTGGGGGAGTTGTAACTGGAGTTGTAACCGGGAGTGGAGTTGAAACCCGAGTCGTAACCACCGGTGCCGAGCGCGATGGCAGCGGTGCAGGTGAGTGCTGCGTCTACCTCCATTCTCCAATGCTCCGGTAGCAAGGGGCCGCCCTGGAAAGGGAGGAAGACGAGGAGAGAGGGGGGGGAAGGGGGGGGCAGGACAAAACAAGCTACGTGAGTGTCAAGCAGGTGAGTGCTGCATCCACCTCCATGCGCCAGTGCTCCAGCAAGAGAGGGCTGCCCTGGGAGGGGGAGTAAGGGAGAGGAAAGTGGAAGGAAAAGACACACAGGTGAGTTATGTGCATGTGAGCGTCACACACAGGTGAGTTATGTGCATGTGAGCGTCACACACAGGTGAGTTATGTGCATGTGAGCGTCACACACAGGTGAGAGCTGCGGCTACTTCCATGCGCCAGCGCTCTGGTAACAAGGTGGACGGGAAAGCAAGAACGAATGGAAGGGTGGACGACAACCAAGGCAGCATGAGGCCAAAGAAAGAAAGAAAGAAAGAAAGAAGTGGCCTCAGCAGGGCTCAAAATGCGACCACTTCAATTTGCCAGTGCTTGGAGAGCACGGGGGCCGCCCTAGGAGACATGGACATGCAAATAGAGTGAGTGTACGTGCCATGCATGTGAGCGTGAGTGCCACTCTCCCAGTTCCACACCACACTCTCCCTTTTTTACTCCCTCCCACTTTCACAATCTCCCAAATTCCACACTTCCCATTTTCACTCACCCCACACACACACTCACCGCCACCAGCAGCGCCTCTAGAGCCTCAAGAATGGCGATCTGCAGATCAACGGTCTGCAGGCACCGACTGCCCGAGATAACACCTGCCCCAGTTGCACCTCCCCCCGCCCCTCCCCCTGTCCCTCCGCTGCCTGCTCCCCCCAGCTTTCCGCTGCCTGCTGCCGCGCCGGGAGCGGCGTCGAATGCCATGCTGCCACCTGGCGAGCGCTGGTTGGTTGGGGAGAAGAGTGCCGGCACGGCCTGCTTGAGGTCTGTGATTCCACGCCCCACCACTATGGGCGCTATCTGTGTCATCATGCCTGGTAAGATAAGAGGGGAGGGGGAAGGGGGAAGGGAGGGAGCGAGGAAGGAACTGCAAATTGAAGTCACAACTATGGCAGGTCATGGCATGACACCAGCACGGCCAGCTTGAGGTCTGTGATGCCACCGCGTGTAGTGAGTCGATTTTTGAGTCGACTCAAAAATCAAATTTAAGTCACAACTATGGCAGGTCACGGCATGACACCAGCACGGCCTGCTTGAGGTCTGTGATGCCACCGCTACGGGGGCAGTCTGTGTCATCATGCCTGGTGGGGTGGGGGATGGGGAGGAGGAAGGGGATGAGGTGGGGTAGGAGGCAACACACCAGACACCAGGCACCAGACACCAAACACCAGAGAGGGAACAACTCACCAGCGCCCAGCGCATAGAGGTACTGTGTGGCCGTGCGGTAGAGCAGCGCCTTGAAGGGCAGCGCTGTGGCGTCGTCCCCCGCTGCTGCTGCCCGCCGAAAGGCCGAGACGAGTGTGTGTGATATGGTGGCTGCATGGGGCAGGATGTGGCTGAAAACAAGGGGAAAAAATGGGGGAGGAGGGGGGGGGAAGTGTGTGATGTAGGAGGAGGGGGGGGGAAGTGTGTGATGTAGGAGGAGGGGGGGGGAAGTGTGTGATGTAGGAGGAGGGGGGGGGAAGTGTGTGATGTAGGAGGAGGGGGGGGGAAGTGTGTGATGTAGGAGGGAAGGATGGAAATGAGAAAGTGCCATCCTTCCCTAATTTCCATAGCCGACTGAGGATTCACTAATGTTTCTCACCCCCTCAACGCACCACTTCATCATTACCTCATTGGTCAGCTTCTACCTCTCTCCGCCACACCACACCCATTTTCTCACTCCCCCCAACCCCTCACACTCACTTCCTCAATCCCCCCTTCACACTCACTTCCTCAATCCCCCCTTCACACTCACTTCCTCAATCCCCCCTTCACACTCACTTCCTCAATCCCCCCTTCACACTCACTTCCTCACTCCCTGCAGCGCCGCCAGCATCATCCTTAGCCCCGCACACTGCAGCGCCGGCAGCTCCACACACAGCGCCAGCTGGCGGGCGGCAGAAAACGCCGAGCCCATGCCATCCATCCCTCCGACCGCATCAAAAGCATCCTCGCCTCCTCCCCTTCCACCCCCTCCTCCTCCTCTCCCTCCAGAAGCGAGGAGAGAGAGAGGGATAACCATTCCTGTTCCCTCCACTTGCGTGAGGCGAATGACGGCGTCGGCTGATACAAGGCGGTGGGCGAGGGCGAGCAGGGCAGAGAGGGGCGCTGGGACCTGGGAGGGAAGAGGGGAGTGGGAGGGGGGAAGGGAGGGGAGGGAAGGGAGGGGAGGGAAGGGAGGGGAGGGAAGGGAGGGGAGGGAGGGAGGGAGGGAGGGAGGGGTAAACAACAAGAGAGGAGAAAGGAGGGGTTAAGCAAGGAGAGGGAGAGAGAGGGATAACCATCCCTGTGCCCTCGACTTGGGTGAGTCGAATGACTGCGTCAGCTGAGACAAGTCGATGGGTGAGAGCAAGCAGGGCAGAGAGGGGCGCTGGGACCTGGGAGGGAAGAGGGGAGTGGGAGGGGGGAAGGGAGGGGAGGGAAGGGAGGGGAGGGAAGGGAGGGAGGGAGGGAGGGGTAAACAACAAGAGAGGAGAAAGGAGGGGTTAAGCAAGGAGAGGGAGAGAGAGGGATAACCATCCCTGTGCCCTCGACTTGGGTGAGTCGAATGACTGCGTCAGCTGAGACAAGTCGATGGGTGAGAGCAAGCAGGGCAGAGAGGGGCGCTGGGACCTGGGAGGGAAGAGGGGAGTGGGAGGGGGGAAGGGAGGGGAGGGAAGGGAGGGGAGGGAAGGGAGGGAGGGAGGGAGGGGTAAACAACAAGAGAGGAGAAAGGAGGGGTTAAGCAAGGAGAGGGAGAGAGAGGGATAACCATCCCTGTGCCCTTGACTTGGGTGAGTCGAATGACTGCGTCAGCTGAGACAAGTCGATGGGTGAGAGCAAGCAGGGCAGAGAGGGGCGCTGGGACCTGGGAGGGAAGAGGGGAGTGGGAGGGGGGAAGGGAGGGGAGGGAAGGGAGGGGAGGGAAGGGAGGGAGGGAGGGAGGGGTAAACAACAAGAGAGGAGAAAGGAGGGGTTAAGCAAGGAGAGGGAGAGAGAGGGATAACCATCCCTGTGCCCTCGACTTGGGTGAGTCGAATGACTGCGTCAGCTGAGACAAGTCGATGGGTGAGAGCAAGCAGGGCAGAGAGGGGCGCTGGGACCTGGGAGGGAAGAGGGGAGTGGGAGGGGGGAAGGGAGGGGAGGGAAGGGAGGGGAGGGAAGGGAGGGAGGGAGGGAGGGGTAAACAACAAGAGAGGAGAAAGGAGGGGTTAAGCAAGGAGAGGGAGAGAGAGGGATAACCATCCCTGTGCCCTCGACTTGGGTGAGTCGAATGACTGCGTCAGCTGAGACAAGTCGATGGGTGAGAGCAAGCAGGGCAGAGAGGGGCGCTGGGACCTGGGAGGGAAGAGGGGAGTGGGAGGGGGGAAGGGAGGGGAGGGAAGGGAGGGGAGGGAAGGGAGGGAGGGAGGGAGGGAGGGGTAAACAACAAGAGAGGAGAAAGGAGGGGTTAAGCAAGGAGAGGGAGAGAGAGGGATAACCATCCCTGTGCCCTCGACTTGGGTGAGTCGAATGACTGCGTCAGCTGAGACAAGTCGATGGGTGAGAGCAAGCAGGGCAGAGAGGGGCGCTGGGACCTGGGAGGGAAGAGGGGAGTGGGAGGGGGGAAGGGAGGGGAGGGAAGGGAGGGGAGGGAAGGGAGGGAGGGAGGGAGGGGTAAACAACAAGAGAGGAGAAAGGAGGGGTTAAGCAAGGAGAGGGAGAGAGAGGGATAACCATCCCTGTGCCCTCGACTTGGGTGAGTCGAATGACTGCGTCAGCTGAGACAAGTCGATGGGTGAGAGCAAGCAGGGCAGAGAGGGGCGCTGGGACCTGGGAGGGAAGAGGGGAGTGGGAGGGGGGAAGGGAGGGGAGGGAAGGGAGGGGAGGGAAGGGAGGGAGGGAGGGAGGGGTAAACAACAAGAGAGGAGAAAGGAGGGGTTAAGCAAGGAGAGGGAGAGAGAGGGATGACCATCCCTGTGCCCTCCACTTGGGTGAGTCTAATTACGGCGTCGGCTGATACAAGGCGGTTGGCGAGAGCAAGCAGGGCCGAGAGGGGCGCTGGGACCTGGGAGGGAAGAGGGGGGGAAAGGAAAGGGGAGGGAGGGATGGGGTTCGGAACAAGTGATGAGGCTCGAGGATAAAGGAGGGGTCATGGCAGGAGGGAGGGGCCAGGAGAGGAGGCGAGAGGTACGCAGGAGAGGCAGGGGAGAGAGGTAGGGTAGGGGCAGACGAGCACAAGTGGCAGGAGAACAAGGTGGTATGGGGCACAAAAGGGGAAGGGGCACAAAAGGGGAAGGGGAACACAGGGTGCATGGGCACAAGGCACCCATACCACCACATCTGCACTCCCCCCAACCACTTACAACCGCTTTCGAGAACCTTCAGAACCAACCAACCCACCGGAGCAGAGAACCCCTGAGTGATGGCCAGCTGGCACGTGAGCAGCAGAGTGCGCGTGCAGACTAAACCTGAGGTGCCTCAGCCTGATCAATGCATCTCCCCCCACCAAGCAAGCAACCAACCCACCGGAGCAGAGAACCCCTGAGTGATGGCCAGCTGGCACGTGAGCAGCAGCGCGTGCAGCCGTGGCACCACCCGCCGGAACACCGCCTCGGGATCTCCACCGCTGCTGCTGCTGCCGCTGCCGCTGCCGCTGCCATTTGCGTTTGACATTGACGTCTGCCCTCCTTGCTTGCTCCGCCCCTGCTGCCCCTGCCCGCCTGATTCCTGCTGCTGCTCGTCCTCCTTGGAGCAGTTAGCAGCGATCCAGTGTGCATGCTCGGGGACCAGAGGCACCGGCAAAGCTGCGCTCTTAGAGTGCAGGAGAGTTGCCAGGGCCTTGGATCGCACAGGTTCTGCAGTGTGGAGTCAGGGACAAAAGGCGGGGGGGGTGATGAGGAGACGATTGTGTTGAAATTTCTCAAGAACCACTGGCACCGGCAGCAGGGCCACTGCATTCCTGGAGCGAAGGAGTGTTGCGAGCGAGGGCCTCCCGCCTTACCCAGCAGAGATACCAACACCAGCACACATGGCAGCAGCACCCACATGCACCAGCTCGCATACCTTCGCCAGCTCACACCTACGCCAGCTCACACCTTCGCCAGCTCACACCTATGCCAGCTCACACCTTCGCCAGCTCACACCTATGCCAGCTCACACCTTCGCCAGCTCACACCTATGCCAGCTCACACCTTCGCCAGCTCACACCTATGCCAGCTCACACCTTCGCCAGCTCACACCTATGCCAGCTCACACCTTCGCCAGCTCACACCTATGCCAGCTCACACCTTCGCCAGCTCACACCTATGCCAGCTCACACCTTCGTCAGCTCGTAGAGACCAGAGAGACCAGAGCAAGGGCTCAAGCTTTCACGAGCACTCACAACTGAAAGCACCACTTGCAGCACCAGTGGCAGCACTCAAATCCACGCCCCTTACCATCCTCAAATCCACGCCCCTTACCATCCTCAAATCCACGCCCCTTACCATCCTCAAATCCACGCCCCTTACCATCCTCAAATCCACGCCCCTTACCATCCTCAAATCCACGCCCCTTACCATCCTCAAATCCACGCCCCTTACCATCCTCAAATCCATGCCCCTTACCATCCTCAAATCCACGCCCCTTACCATCCTCAAATCCACGCCCCTTACCATCCTCAAATCCACGCCCCTTACCATCCTCAAATCCACGCCCCTTACCATCCTCAAATCCACGCCCCTTACCATCCTCAAATCCACGCCCCTTACCATCCTCAAATCCACGCCCCTTACCATCCTCAAATCCACGCCCCTTACCATCCTCAAATCCACGCCCCTTACCATCCTCAAATCCACGCCCCTTACCATCCTCAAATCCTGAGAGCCCCTTACCATCCTCAAATCCTGAGAGCCCCTTACCATCCTCAAATCCACGCCCCTTACCATCCTCAAATCCACGCCCCTTACCATCCTCAAATCCACGCCCCTTACCATCCTCAAATCCACGCCCCGTACCATCCTCAAATCCACGCCCCTTACCATCCTCAAATCCACGCCCCTTACCATCCTCAAATCCACGCCCCGTACCATCCTCAAATCCACGCCCCTTACCATCCTCAAATCCACGCCCCTTACCATCCTCAAATCCACGCCCCTTACCATCCTCAAATCCACGCCCCTTACCATCCTCAAATCCACGCCCCTTACCATCCTCAAATCCACGCCCCGTACCATCCTCAAATCCACGCCCCTTACCATCCTCAAATCCACGCCCCTTACCATCCTCAAATCCACGCCCCTTACCATCCTCAAATCCACGCCCCTTACCATCCTCAAATCCACGCCCCTTACCATCCTCAAATCCACGCCCCTTACCATCCTCAAATCCACGCCCCTTACCATCCTCAAATCCACGCCCCGTACCATCCTCAAATCCACGCCCCTTACCATCCTCAAATCCACGCCCCTTACCATCCTCAAATCCACGCCCCGTACCATCCTCAAATCCACGCCCCTTACCATCCTCAAATCCACGCCCCTTACCATCCTCAAATCCTGAGCGCCCCTTACCATCCTCAAATCCTGAGAGCCCCTTACCATCCTCAAATCCACGCCCCTTACCATCCTCAAATCCACGCCCCTTACCATCCTCAAATCCACGCCCCTTACCATCCTCAAATCCACGCCCCGTACCATCCTCAAATCCACGCCCCTTACCATCCTCAAATCCACGCCCCTTACCATCCTCAAATCCACGCCCCTTACCATCCTCAAATCCACGCCCCTTACCATCCTCAAATCCACGCCCCTTACCATCCTCAAATCCACGCCCCTTACCATCCTCAAATCCACGCCCCTTACCATCCTCAAATCCATGCCCCTTACCATCCTCAAATCCACGCCCCTTACCATCCTCAAATCCACGCCCCTTACCATCCTCAAATCCTGAGAGCCCCTTACCATCCTCAAATCCTGAGAGCCCCTTACCATCCTCAAATCCACGCCCCTTACCATCCTCAAATCCACGCCCCTTACCATCCTCAAATCCACGCCCCTTACCATCCTCAAATCCACGCCCCGTACCATCCTCAAATCCACGCCCCTTACCATCCTCAAATCCACGCCCCTTACCATCCTCAAATCCACGCCCCGTACCATCCTCAAATCCACGCCCCTTACCATCCTCAAATCCACGCCCCTTACCATCCTCAAATCCACGCCCCTTACCATCCTCAAATCCACGCCCCTTACCATCCTCAAATCCACGCCCCTTACCATCCTCAAATCCACGCCCCGTACCATCCTCAAATCCACGCCCCCTTACCATCCTCAAATCCACGCCCCTTACCATCCTCAAATCCACGCCCCTTACCATCCTCAAATCCACGCCCCTTACCATCCTCAAATCCACGCCCCTTACCATCCTCAAATCCACGCCCCTTACCATCCTCAAATCCACGCCCCTTACCATCCTCAAATCCACGCCCCGTACCATCCTCAAATCCACGCCCCTTACCATCCTCAAATCCACGCCCCTTACCATCCTCAAATCCACGCCCCGTACCATCCTCAAATCCACGCCCCTTACCATCCTCAAATCCACGCCCCTTACCATCCTCAAATCCTGAGCGCCCCTTACCATCCTCAAATCCTGAGAGCCCCTTACCATCCTCAAATCCACGCCCCTTACCATCCTCAAATCCACGCCCCTTACCATCCTCAAATCCACGCCCCTTACCATCCTCAAATCCACGCCCCTTACCATCCTCAAATCCACGCCCCTTACCATCCTCAAATCCTCGCCCCTTACCATCCTCAAATCCACGCCCCTTACCATCCTCAAATCCACGTCCTGTACCATCCTCAAATCCACGCCCCTTACCATCCTCAAATCCACGCCCCTTACCATCCTCAAATCCACGCCCCTTACCATCCTCAAATCCACGCCCCTTACCATCCTCAAATCCACGCCCCTTACCATCCTCAAATCCTGAGAGCCCCTTACCATCCTCAAATCCTGAGAGCCCCTTACCATCCTCAAATCCACGCCCCTTACCATCCTCAAATCCACGCCCCTTACCATCCTCAAATCCTGAGAGCCCCTTACCATCCTCAAATCCACGCCCCTTACCATCCTCAAATCCACGCCCCTTACCATCCTCAAATCCACGCCCCTTACCATCCTCAAATCCACGCCCCTTACCATCCTCAAATCCACGCCCCTTACCATCCTCAAATCCACGCCCCTTACCATCCTCAAATCCACGCCCCTTACCATCCTCAAATCCACGCCCCTTACCATCCTCAAATCCACGCCCCTTACCATCCTCAAATCCACGCCCCTTACCATCCTCAAATCCACGCCCCTTACCATCCTCAAATCCACGCCCCTTACCATCCTCAAATCCACGCCCCTTACCATCCTCAAATCCACGCCCCTTACCATCCTCAAATCCACGCCCCTTACCATCCTCAAATCCACGCCCCTTACCATCCTCAAATCCACGCCCCTTACCATCCTCAAATCCACGCCCCTTACCATCCTCAAATCCACGCCCCTTACCATCCTCAAATCCACGCCCCTTACCATCCTCAAATCCACGCCCCTTACCATCCTCAAATCCACGCCCCTTACCATCCTCAAATCCACGCCCCCTTACCATCCTCAAATCCACGCCCCTTACCATCCTCAAATCCACGCCCCTTACCATCCTCAAATCCACGCCCCTTACCATCCTCAAATCCACGCCCCGTACCATCCTCAAATCCACGCCCCTTACCATCCTCAAATCCACGCCCCTTACCATCCTCAAATCCACGCCCCTTACCATCCTCAAATCCACGCCCCTTACCATCCTCAAATCCACGCCCCTTACCATCCTCAAATCCACGCCCCTTACCATCCTCAAATCCTGAGAGCAGAGTGTCAAGGTCCGCGTGCGTGGAGAGCAGCAGGCGGCGCATGAAGGTGGACCAGAGCGAGGGGTCACTGGAGGGCCATGCTTGGTAACACTGGTGCTCACTCTTTCACCCACCGGGCAGCAGCACGCTGCTTACCATCCTCAAAGCCGGAGAGCAGAGTATCGAGGTCGACGTGCGTGGAGAGCAGCAGGCGGCGCATGAAGGTGGACCAGAGGGCGGGGTCCCCGGAGGCACGGGGGAGCAGCACGAGCAGGCTGCAGCAGGACTGGTGGGGGGAAAGGGTGGATTGCGGAAGACACGGTAGACATGAGTTGAATCTCGGGTAGCAGCAGCAGCAGTCGGCGCATGAAGGTGGACCAAAGCGAGGGGTCGCCAGAGGCACGGGGGAGCAGCACAAGCAGGCTGCAGCAGGACTGGTGGGGATTGGTGGTGGGGGCCAGGGACGAGGGAAGCGGGAATGATGGTTGATATGAGTCGCATCTCAGAAAGCAGCAGCAGCAGCAGCAGCAGGCAGCGCATGAAGGCCGACGAGAGGGAGGGGTCACCGGAGGCACGGGGGAGCAGCACCAGCAGGCTGCAGCAGGACTGGTGTGGTGGGGGAGTGGGCGGAGGAAGAGGGAATGTTGCTTGAAATGAGTTGGATGTCCGATACCACAAGTTGGGTAATGATGAGCCGACTCTCTACAGTCTACTACTGCAAGTAATTTTGGGTCCCCGCAACACGTGAATGATGGATGAAGATGCGTGCACTAGGAGATGACAGCTTGACCACACACACACACGCGTTCGCGCACGCACACGCACACGCACGCGCGCATGCGCATCAGCCATACCCACATGAAGAATCAGAGGATTGGAAATGATGGGCCGACTGTACAAGTCATCATAAATCCCTGCAACAACTATGCATACAACAACCCCCCACACTCACATGGACTATGGCTGCAACAACCCCCCACACTCACATGGACTATGGCTGCAACAACCCCCCACACTCACATGGACTATGGATGCGGGTGCATTGGGAGAAGACAGCTTGGCCACCAGCAGAGCCTCCATCTGCGGTCAGTGAGGGGAGGGGGAGAGTAGAAGATTTTCAAGTGTTTTGAGAAGGTTTGAGGCGACTCAACTCAAGCATTGATGGATGCGGGTGCATTGGGAGAAGACAGCTTGGCCACCAGCAGAGCCTCCATCTGAAGTCAGTGGGGGGTTGGTTGGTGTGGAAGGGGCATTGAAATGGAGGAGACTTCTGAGTCGACCCAAAAGTCACTTCGGTGCATTGAGGAAAGGACACTCGATCCACACCAGGAGTGTGGCGTGGAGGAAAGGACGGAGAGCGGAACGGAGGGAGGATGGAATTCACAATCTACATAGAAAGCGCAGTAAGAATCATGATGCAATAACAGCTTTATAGTGAAAAGGGAATCACGCGCCGTGCGTGCATACTGCAGCAGCAGTAGTAACAATCATAATCACAACAAAAAACATGAACGATCGATTACATACCGCTGGAACGTGATGCTTGAAGCTGGAGGGGAAGGAGCGGAGCAGCAGAGAGAGCAGCGAGAGGCACACGCTCTGGCAGACGGGCAAGGGCGCATGAGACAAGCAGAGGGGGTGGGAGGGAGGGAGGGAGGGAGGGAGGGGGATACCGTTTGGGAGGGAGGTAGGGAGAGAGGGAGGGAGGGAGAGAGGGGGATACTGTTTGGGAGGGAGGTAGGGAGAGAGAGAGAGAGAGGGAGAGAGGGGGATACTGTTTGGGAGGGAGGTAGGGAGAGAGAGAGAGAGGGAGGGAGAGAGGCGCCTCAAAAACCACCGGCAGAATAGATTCTGAATGCATCTGAATAAACCCCGAGTGATTTCCAACAAGTAGAGACACAATCTCAAACGCCAGTGTGCCACCCACCCATGCCTGCGTGCTCTCAGTGCCACCCATCATCTCTGCCAGAAACGGCCAAAGCTTGCCGGCCAGAGTGCCAGCCTCCTTACGCACGCTCTGCACATGAGACAAAGTTGCCAGCCTGGCATGAGGAGATAGGGAGGGAGGGAGGCACATGCATTAGCATGGTAAGCACGTACGAATGTGGCTGTGTGCATGTGCGTGAGCATGTGACTGTGTGTGCGTGCGCATATGTGTTCATGGGTAACCTAGTTTGATGGTCTACACAACACAACACCATACCACACCGCACCGCACCACACCGCACCTTGAGAAAAGGTCAGCAAGGGCAGCAGCAGCAGCCACACGCACAAAAATGGTAGCTGATAAAATGGCCTCCTTGCCCTTCCCACCCCCTCTTTTGAGTCAACTTACAAGGCACAGGAGGAATCCTGTACAATCCGCACCTGGAAAAGAGGTCAGCGAGGGCAGCAGCAGCTGCCACACGCACAAACATGGTATCCGGCACTATGGCCTCCTTGTCCTTTCCACTCCCCTTCTCCTTCTCCTTCCCTCTTCCATTCCCCCTCCCCTCCTTCCCCTCCTCTCCCTCCTCTCCCTCCGCTTCTCCGTCCTCCTCCCCCTCCTCTTCCCCCTCCTCCTTCCCCTCCTGCTGCTGTTGCGCGCCCTTCTCGCTCCCCCCACCGCCTCCTTTTGTCTTATTCGCCTTCAGCAGGGCGGCTAGCCGCCCCCACCACTTGGCGTACGTGTCAACCACGCGCTGAGCTGTGCTCTCTGCACACGTGGCACCTGCCAGCACACATGCCGCCCACCGATTGGCCGGCTGCGCGGAGAAGGAGACGAGGCGGAGTGTAGAAGTGGAGGAGCGTGGGAGCAGGGAGGGGAGAGCTGGTTGGGATAAAACTTGAGAAACAAGGAGAGGTAAGGGTGAGCAATGACTTGACAGTACTTGACTTCCTTCCCTAACCTCGTCCACTTCCTTCCTTCCAGCAACCCTCAGATATGAGAAACCCAACCCACCAGCGGAGATGCCAATAACGCGAACACTCTGCTGCACCACGCGTCAACAGCCCGCCTCCTGGGATCATTGCCGCTCCCCACGGCGGCCCAGTCGGGTTCCACGGCCAGCACGTGTTGCTCCCGCAGCACCCCCACGGCTGCTCGCACCCTACCCATGTCAATAGGGTCCTTGGGCGAGGCTGGCAGAAAGGAGGTGAGCTGGGACTGGAGGAGACGCAGGCGCAGGCGGGGGTCCTGTGCGGTGCAAATGGAGAATTGGGGGAGAGGAAGGGGAGGGAGGGGGGAGGAAGGAGAATGGGGCAGGGTGGACGCAGAGCAGCACCCCCCACGGCCGCCCAGTCGGGTTCCACGGCCAGCGCGTGTTGCTCCCGCAGCACCCCCACCGCCGCGCGCACCCTGCCCATGTCAATGAGTTCCTTGGGCGATGCGGGCAGGAAGGAGATGAGGAGGGACTGGAGGAGACGCAGGCGCAGGCGGGGGTCCTGTGCGGTGAAAATGGGGGATTGAGGGTGGAGGGGGAGGAGGGGGGGGGGAGGGGGGTGGGGGGGGGGGGGGGGAGCGCGGGGGGGGTGCGCGGGGGAGTCAGATGGAGTGGGGCAGGGCGGACGCAGCACCGCCACCGCCGCTCGCACCCTGCCCATGTCGATGGGGTCCTTGGGCAAGGCGGGCAGGGTTTGGGGGTTTGGGGGAGTAAAATGACCGAATTTGTTGGGAAAGGCCAAATGCGCGGCAAACGGCGGTCGACGGGGTTAGGGTTTCCGCGAAAAGAGGACTTTGATTTCACTCCGCCTTGCCAAATTCACGCGAAATCGCAGCAGTTAGGGTTTTCGGACCTGACGTTCGAACGCGCCTAACTGCTGAACGCACCTGCGCGCCGGTGAGCACGTCGTTGCCCATCAGGAGCGATTTTGCCGCCATTCCCGGCGCCGAGTGCGGCTGCTGCGATCGCAGCGGCTGCATCGATCCTAAGCTCCTACGCTAAATTCGATCCGGTCCTATTTCGCCGTGATCCGTGACAATGTCTGCCCCAGCTTTATGGTGTAGGCTCGCGACTCGCCCTTTATTTTCTCCCGCTTTGGATGGCCGCGAGCGAGTAGGCAACGCTAAAGCAGGCACACGTATGGATGAGATCGCGCACCCTTTCCGCTTTTAGGAACCCTAGCAGAAATAGAAAGGTCAAGGTAGTGGCGAATTTACACAAAACACCTCTAGATATGACGTAAAACTGGAGCTTATTCAAGAAATATCGCTAAGGATACGGGTACAACTCGAGCAAGTTACGGTAGGATCAACTCTAGGGAGTAGTTTCAGAGGCGAGGCGGGCTTGTGCGAGTGCTACGGAGGCGAGGTCGGGGGAATGTCGCTGAAGGACATAGGTTAGGGAAGAAAACTCTCCAACTCAGCAGTCACCGTTGGCTGGAGGAGCTTGGAGGCATATTTGGGGTTTAGGGTAGAAGGACAGTGCTGGTGGACACTGGCATAAATTTGAACGGAACAGAACAGACTGGAAAATGGATTCATGAGGAAACTTCCAAACCCCGCAATCCGTTTCGGAAGGCGCGGCCATGGCCTCTCTTGCCCTGATAGTGGAAGAGATGGGGAAAACAGTTGATATTGCAAACAATCGCAGTCAGCGACGATACGTGTACTGTATCTATTTGTTCGCACAGCACAGGTTTCCTTCGTCAGTCATCGCGAACGGGATGTGGGCAGCACAGCCAAGATCACAGTTACCTCAACTCTGGCGGCGCCGAGTCAGAAAAATCAAGCCACTTGTCGACAACTGGTCCAACTGGAACCACACCTCCCATTCACGAAACCCGCGGGGAGCAGCGCCGCGCCTGGTCGCAGTTCGCAAAACCGTCTCCAGTGATTTCGCTCATCTCGTGTAAATATCACTCGAGTGAGGCCAGACACGGTTACTCATAAATTATTGTCGCGTAGTCCGTCAGAAGCCTGGGGGGAATACGGTTGCCCAACCAACCAGGCAGCACGGCAGCGCCGATTTTTTTTACGTGTCTTTTCTCTGGTTGAGAGAACCACGCGTGCCGTGCGGAGCGGATCATCCCAACCCGAATGTACAAACCGAAGCCTTGTGGCAAATAATCAATTCCCGTGGAGCATAGCAAGCTTTTTTATGTACACTTGCACAGAAGAGCGGGAAAAGCACACGATGCATCCTTTGACAGGGAAGGCAAGTACTCATGCTCTCTAACAAGACCAAGGAAACCTTCAAAACCCAAAGATGGAAGGGGTAGGAGGAGTTCCTAGTGATGTGTTGTGGGCAGTGCCGGATGGGAGAAGGGCGTTGATTTCAAAAACAACAAAACCATACCGTATCCATGCTGGGGAGGGAAGGGAGTGAGGGGTGCACAGGAAGGGACAAAGGAGGAAATGGAAGAGCCCGCAGCAAGACAGAGACAAGACAAGAAACCGAGGAGAGGAAACAATGCTATGTATGTAAACAAGTATCACCCTAGTCAACCACAACCTTCGCATATAGGGCAGCAAGAGGCAAAAGCACAGCACAGACTGAAATTGCACACGCAAGCATCTCTCTGAAACTTTTTTCCCCACCAAGGCAGGCAGTTATTCCCATGTCATTTCCACTGTGTTCCTGAATCATCACATGGAAACGGATCCAGCCTGCTCATGTGTCCCTTTCTGCGAGTGCTGCTGCTGTTGCTGCTGCCCCTCTTCTACTTAGCGCTTGCTGTACGGACTGCTGTCGTGGCCGCTGAGAGTGCCTGTAGCAGCAGCACTTCCTCTTGTGATGTAGTGGCTGCTGTAGTGTTGCTGTAGCAGGTGCGGCTGTGCTGTGGGGATATTTTAGGCGCCTCAAAAATCGCCTTAGTTCAGGTGCGGCTGTGCTGTGGGAGTCGTGTAGAGGCTGCTGCAGCTGCTACTGTTGGTGCTGGCGTGTCTGGGAAAGATGTGAGGCGATTGCTTGCTTCCAACCATGGCCTGCAGAGGATCTTGGACTGGTGCAGAGTGGTGATAAACGGTTGGAGAAGGTACATCGGCGTAGGAGGATGAGGATGGCAGGAAGCTGAAATATGGTGGAAAGTGGTGAAACGATGTGACAAGAGGGCGACACAAGGCGACAAGAGTGTGACACGAGGTGACAAGGACGGGACAAGAGGTCGAATGTGGTGAAGGCTGGGCGTGGGTGAGACAAGCACAGGTGCAATGTAACTGCAAGTGCCCAACCAAGTTTCCCCACTGTCGCTTACATAAGTGTCAGTACTTTGGTCGCTTCATGGGCCCTCCAGACCCCGACCCCATAGGCCTCTTCCCCATAGGCGGGGGAGGACCCCTCCCGCTCCCCCCTTTACCCATCGGCCTCCCCCCACCCCCTCCCCCTCCGCCTCCTCCTCCCCCCGGCCTCCCCCCGCTGCCTCCCCCCATTGGCCTCCCCCCTCCCCCTCCGGATTTCCCCATAGGCCCCTTCCCCATCGGCCTCCCCTCCGGTCGCCCGCTCCATCCCCCTTTCCCCCCGCTCCCTCCCCCTCCCCCTCCCCCTCCTCGCGAATCCCCAGGCCTCCCCCCACCGCCACTCCCCCCTCCTCCCCCTCCACCCCCTCCCCCTCCCTTCCTCCTCCTCCTCCTCTCGCCCTCACTATCACTCTCCTCGCCCTTCTCCCGATCCTCCCTTAAAGCCTTCGCCTCAAGCTCATCCCACGTCGGACCCTCCTCCTCCTCCTCTTCCTCCTCCTCCCCCTCCTCCTCCTCACTATCCACCACACTCTCATCATCCTCGCTCTCGTCATCGTCATCGTCGGATGCAGCCTCCTCCAGATCCGACGGCTCGTACGCCTGCGATTCCTCCGACTCCTCCCCTTCACTATCCGACGCCTCGAGATTCAGAAACTCCCACCCGCCGTCCGCAAGAAAAGCCTCGGGATCACTCATGATATTCTGCAGGATGGCTTTCCAGCTGAGATTCAGCCGCGACTCATAGTACTTGATGTTCATCGAATTCAGCCATTCTTTCACCGAGTCGAGCGACGTGCTCGGGATCGCATCAATCCGCAGAACGTCCCGCTTGAAATCCTTGAACACAATCGCCATGTCGAACGTCTTCTGCCCGAGACCCACGCGCTCCAGATTCACAATCTCGACCTCGTTCAGAGTGACCACCAGGAAGGGCACCTCTATAAGCTCCACGAGACAGTTCACCGTCGGTACGATGAACGCGGACGACTTGTGCGGCACGCCGTGAAACCCTAATTCCCGGAACGGCACGTCGAATTCGAGGTCGAGACGAGCGAGCTCGCGGTCCTTCTCCCAGAGAGAATGCACCGCGCTGACAAAGGATTTGAACTCCCGGTTGATCTTGCTCCGCCGCTCCCGCTCCCTCTGCTCCTCCTCGATTTCATCGGGGTCGTAAGCCGAGCGGCGAGAGCCGCCCACGGTTTGGACCACCTCCATGACCTCGGCGAAGAACTGCACGTCTTTTGTCTTTTTCTTGCCGACCATGATGGGGTTGTGGAGGTGGAAGTGCAGGAGGGTGATCATCTCGTTCTCAGCGGGCTGGAAGAAGGCGTGCTTGATGTTGCCATACATCACCTCCACCCTCTCGTCCGGCTGGTGGGATTAGAGGGGGGGATAAAAGGGTGGACCGTGGACCAAAGTTAAGGAAGGTAAGGAAGAGGGGAGAAAAGGTGAGGTTCACTGAAGGCGTGCTTGATGTTGCCGTACATCACCTCCACCCTCTCGTCCGGCTGGTGGGATTAGAGGGGGGGATAAAAGGGTGGACCGTGGACCAAAGTTAAGGAAGGTAAGGAAGAGGGGAGAAAAGGTGAGGTTCACTGAAGGCGTGCTTGATGTTGCCGTACATCACCTCCACCCTCTCGTCCGGCTGGTGGGATTAGAGGGGGGGATAAAAGGGTGGACCGTGGACCAAAGTTAAGGAAGGTAAGGAAGAGGGGAGAAAAGGTGAGGTTCACTGAAGGCGTGCTTGATGTTGCCGTACATCACCTCCACCCTCTCGTCCGGCTGGTGGGATTAGAGGGGGGGATAAAAGGGTGGACCGTGGACCAAAGTTAAGGAAGGTAAGGAAGAGGGGAGAAAAGGTGAGGTTCACTGAAGGCGTGCTTGATGTTGCCGTACATCACCTCCACCCTCTCGTCCGGCTGGTGGGATTAGAGGGGGGGATAAAAGGGTGGACCGTGGACCAAAGTTAAGGAAGGTAAGGAAGAGGGGAGAAAAGGTGAGGTTCACTGAAGGCGTGCTTGATGTTGCCGTACATCACCTCCACCCTCTCGTCCGGCTGGTGGGATTAGAGGGGGGGATAAAAGGGTGGACCGTGGACCAAAGTTAAGGAAGGTAAGGAAGAGGGGAGAAAAGGTGAGGTTCACTGAAGGCGTGCTTGATGTTGCCGTACATCACCTCCACCCTCTCGTCCGGCTGGTGGGATTAGAGGGGGGGATAAAAGGGTGGACCGTGGACCAAAGTTAAGGAAGGTAAGGAAGAGGGGAGAAAAGGTGAGGTTCACTGAAGGCGTGCTTGATGTTGCCGTACATCACCTCCACCCTCTCGTCCGGCTGGTGGGATTAGAGGGGGGGATAAAAGGGTGGACCGTGGACCAAAGTTAAGGAAGGTAAGGAAGAGGGGAGAAAAGGTGAGGTTCACTGAAGGCGTGCTTGATGTTGCCGTACATCACCTCCACCCTCTCGTCCGGCTGGTGGGATTAGAGGGGGGGATAAAAGGGTGGACCGTGGACCAAAGTTAAGGAAGGTAAGGAAGAGGGGAGAAAAGGTGAGGTTCACTGAAGGCGTGCTTGATGTTGCCGTACATCACCTCCACCCTCTCGTCCGGCTGGTGAGGGGTTGGTGTGTTTAGAGGGTGGTGATGGAGTAGGTTAGAGGGTAGAAAGCGGGGAGTGGTTGCAAGAACCCACCATCACAAAGAACCGCATGCCACCACACGCCACCGCACAACCTGCCTTGGCAGTGGAATAGCGGAACCCGTTCAGATGAGCCTCCAGCACCTTTGTGAGGTGCTTAAGAAGACGCGTCACCACAGAACCGCATGCCGCAGCACATCATTGCACCACACCGGCAACCCACCTTGGCAGTGGAATAAAGCCACGTGATAAAAGTTGTATTTTGAGACGTCTCAAAATACAACTTTTATCAAAACGCAGCACATCACTGCACAAGCAACCCACCTTGGCAGTGGAATAGCGGAACCCGTTCAGATGAGCCTCCAGCGACCCGGTGAGTTTCCGCCCCTTTCCTCCGAAGGAAGGTCGGATCCAGAGGTCGGGCAGGCGCGGCGGGCGGCCCTTGCTGAGCTGAAGCTTCTCCTGCGTGACAAGTGTCGCTCTCTCAGCGCGCTCCGACTCCCGCTGCCGCACGTGCTTGCTCATCGTCTTTATCAGTTGCACCACCTGGTGATTGTTGCAAGTAAGAGGTAGGGTGAGCGAGCGGAAGGGGGGAAGTTTGGTTACCAAAAGAATGGAAACGTTGGTTTGGTGTCGCTCCAACCAGTTCCCACAGCCATAATTTGCTCATTGTATTGATGATGAGTGGCACCACTTGGTGTTGCAGTGAGAAGAGGAGGACAGTGGGAGGGCGGAGAAGGTAGTTGTGGTGAGGGTAGAAGGGAAAGGGCTTGTTCATGGATTGACTCAGCTGCACCAGGTACACGTTTTCTGATTTTATGCCACCTGACTATAAGGGTCACACGTTACTTGGTTGGCATGCCGGGAATCCGTAGACTTGAAGGAAAGCTCCTTGATAACGTGTGACCCTTATAGAGACTCTGGTATGCTATCTGAGAATTTCTGCATGGGCAGGTCGGCCGCACTGAACCCCGCACCGGGAACGTTGAAGATGATGCGGATGTAGATGTGCCCTCCGTCCTGCTGGCTGGCACTCCAGGCTACCTGCCTCTTCCTCTTCCCACAAGCATGACTACCTGCATGAGATGGCCTCATGTACCCACCTTTTTAGACCGGGTTACCTGGTTACATGTGCTTACTTGGTTGGCATGCCGGGAATCCGTAGACTTGAAGGAAAGCTCCTTGATAAAGATGCTATCCGGAAATTTCTGCATGGGCAGGTCGGCAGCGCTGAACCCTGCGCCGGGCACGTTGAAGATGATGCGGATGTAGATGTGCCCTCCGTCCTGCTGGCTGGTCACGTTGCGGATCATGCACACGTGGAACGGCACCAGGAGGCCGTAGATGGGGAGGAGGACGGACTCGTGCCGCTGATCCACCTGGGAACAAGGGGGCAAGGGAGGTAGAGAGAGTGGTGGAGAGGGGTGACGGGCGGAGGGGAGGGATTGTGTGGGTTGGAACGGCATGAGCAGCCCGTATATGGGGAGGAGGACCGACTCGTGTCGCTGGTCCACCTGGGCGACGGGAGGAGAAGGAGAGGAAGGGGGAGGGAGGGCAGTGGGATAAGCTGTTGGGTCAAAAACAGAGGGGTGAGGCTTCGTCCACATCACCATACGGCACCAGATCCCGTCTCTGCTGCTCAATCCATGCATGAACTATATGCTCTCATACATAAATACATATAGCTTTACTTTACGAAAGAAGAAGAAGAAAAAAAAAACCTTCCCCCTCCCCCTCCCCCCACCCCCTCCCGCTCCCACCCTCTCCCCCACTCTCCCCCTCATCTTGCCCCCCAACTCCTACCCTACCTGGATCTTATAGTCTTTCATGGCAAGGGGAATTTCGTCCACATCCCCATATGACACCAGGTCACCCGTCTGCCTCTTCGCCCCCTCGCCCTCGCGTGCGCCCAGCCCTCCAGCAGCCAGCCGACGAGCGGTCTCTTCGATCTTCTGCTTCGCCAGCTCTGCTTGGTGCTGCCGCCGCAGCTCCTCCTTTGTTGCTTCTTGATTCTCCGACCGCAGGTGCGCACGGGCGAACACAGCGGGTTCTCCAGCCCCTGCTGCTTCTGCTGGTCGCTTGCCCTTATCCGTGTCCTCCTCTTCCTCATCTTCCCCCTGGTACGTTGGGGATGGGGGACAGGGAAGGTGAGGGGAAAGTGAGGCGCCGGGCCGTCTCTTCGATCTTCTGCTTCGCCAGCTCCGCCTGGTGCTGCCGCCGCAGCTCCTCCTTTGTGGCCTCCTGATTCTCCGACCGCAGGTGAGCCCGGGCGAATACAGCCGGTTCTCCAGCCCCTGCTGCTTCTGCCGGTCGCTTGCCCTTGTCTGCCTCTTCCTCCTCTTCATCTTCCCCCTGGCACAGCGCATCAACATGGCAGGTGGGGGAGTGGGGGAAATGGGAGGGGAAGATGAGGCAAGGACAGCTGGAGCTGCTCATCCAGCTCCGCCTGGTGCTGCCGCCGCAGCTCCTCCTTTGTGGCCTCCTGATTCTCCGACCGCAGGTGAGCCCGGGCGAATACAGCCGGTTCTCCAGCCCCTGCTGCTTCTGCCGGTCGCTTGCCCTTGTCTGCCTCTTCCTCCTCTTCATCTTCCCCCTGGCACAGCGCATCAACATGGCAGGTGGGGGAGTGGGGGAAATGGGAGGGGAAGATGAGGCAAGGACAGCTGGAGCTGCTCATCCAGCTCCGCCTGGTGCTGCCGCCGCAGCTCCTCCTTTGTGGCCTCCTGATTCTCCGACCGCAGGTGAGCCCGGGCGAATACAGCCGGTTCTCCAGCCCCTGCTGCTTCTGCCGGTCGCTTGCCCTTGTCTGCCTCTTCCTCCTCTTCATCTTCCCCCTGGCACAGCGCATCAACATGGCAGGTGGGGGAGTGGGGGAAATGGGAGGGGAAGATGAGGCAAGGACAGCTGGAGCTGCTCATCCAGCTCCGCCTGGTGCTGCCGCCGCAGCTCCTCCTTTGTGGCCTCCTGATTCTCCGACCGCAGGTGAGCCCGGGCGAATACAGCCGGTTCTCCAGCCCCTGCTGCTTCTGCCGGTCGCTTGCCCTTGTCTGCCTCTTCCTCCTCTTCATCTTCCCCCTGGCACAGCGCATCAACATGGCAGGTGGGGGAGTGGGGGAAATGGGAGGGGAAGATGAGGCAAGGACAGCTGGAGCTGCTCATCCAGCTCCGCCTGGTGCTGCCGCCGCAGCTCCTCCTTTGTGGCCTCCTGATTCTCCGACCGCAGGTGAGCCCGGGCGAATACAGCCGGTTCTCCAGCCCCTGCTGCTTCTGCCGGTCGCTTGCCCTTGTCTGCCTCTTCCTCCTCTTCATCTTCCCCCTGGCACAGCGCATCAACATGGCAGGTGGGGGAGTGGGGGAAATGGGAGGGGAAGATGAGGCAAGGACAGCTGGAGCTGCTCATCCAGCTCCGCCTGGTGCTGCCGCCGCAGCTCCTCCTTTGTGGCCTCCTGATTCTCCGACCGCAGGTGAGCCCGGGCGAATACAGCCGGTTCTCCAGCCCCTGCTGCTTCTGCCGGTCGCTTGCCCTTGTCTGCCTCTTCCTCCTCTTCATCTTCCCCCTGGCACAGCGCATCAACATGGCAGGTGGGGGAGTGGGGGAAATGGGAGGGGAAGATGAGGCAAGGACAGCTGGAGCTGCTCATCCAGCTCCGCCTGGTGCTGCCGCCGCAGCTCCTCCTTTGTGGCCTCCTGATTCTCCGACCGCAGGTGAGCCCGGGCGAATACAGCCGGTTCTCCAGCCCCTGCTGCTTCTGCTGGCCGTTTCCCCTTGTCTGCTTCCTCCTCCTCCTCGTCTTCCCCCTGACAGGGAAGGGAAGGGAGGGAAAGAATGGGAGAGGCGAGACAAGCAACTGGAGCCGCAACTCCTTTGTGGCCTCCTGGTTCTCCGACCGCAGGTGCGCTCGAGCGAACACAGCAGGTTCTCCAGCCCCTGCTGCTGCTGCTGGTCGCTTGCCCTTGTCTGTGTCCTCCTCCTCCTCGTCTTCCCCCTGACAGGGAAGGGAAGGGAGGGAAAGAATGGGAGAGGTGAGACAAGCAAGTGGAGCCGCAACTCCTTTGTGGCCTCCTGGTTCTCCGACCGCAAGTGAGCCCGGGCGAATACAGCGGGTTCCCCTGCCCCTGCTGCCTCAGCTGGCCGCTTGCCCTTATCCGTGTCCTCCTCTTCCTCGTCTTCCCCCTGGTACGTTGGGAGGTGAGGGGAAAATGAGGCGCCGGGTGGTCTCTTCGATCTTCTGCTTCGCCAGCTCCGCCTGGTGCTGCCGCCGCAGCTCCTCCTTTGTGGCTTCTTGATTCTCCGACCGCAGGTGCGTCCACCCACGAAAACACAGCCAGCCGACTTCCGCTTCTCAAACTGCTCCTTCACTTCACAGTCACACCCCCATGAACCCCCCTGAACCCCCATGAACCCCCCTGAACCCCCATGAACCCCCCTGAACCCCCATGAACCCCCCTGAACCCCCATGAACCCCCCTGAACAGGGAGCATGAGATCTACAGTCCCACCCCCCTGAACCCCATAGTCCCTTTACCCCACACATACCTTGAGGGAGTAGGCCACGTCAGCAAATGACTTGGAAGCAGAGGCAGTGGCGACGTCAACCCAGCGGTCCTTGTCAGCAGCGGCCCTCACAGCCACCGTATCAGCCACCAGTAGCGCATACTTCCTCAGCTTTGCACTGCCCCCCTTCCCCTCCTTCCCCGTACACTGTGCCTACCTTGAGAGAGGAAGGTACGTCCCTACACGCCACCAAGCCTTCAGCCGGCACACCCCACCCACACCCACCTTGAGTGAGTACGCGACATCAGCGAATGACTTGGAGGCAGAGGCAGTGGCGACGTCCACCCAGCGGTCCTTGTCAGCAGCGGCCCTCACAGCCACCGTATCAGCCACCAGTAGCGCATACTTCCTCAGCTTTGCACTGCCCCCCTTCCCCTCCTTCCCCCTACACTGTGCCTACCTTGAGAGAGGAAGGTACGTCCCTACACGCCACCAAGCCTTCAGCCGGCACACCCCACCCACACCCACCTTGAGTGAGTACGCGACATCAGCGAATGACTTGGAGGCAGAGGCAGTGGCGACGTCCACCCAGCGGTCCTTGTCAGCAGCGGCCCTCACCGCCACCGTGTCCGCCACCAGTAGCGCATACTTCCTCAGCTTCGCACTGCCCCCCTTCCCCTCCTTGCCCCCCTCCTTGCCTCCAGCGCCCTCAGCGTTTCCGTTCGCCTCGGGCCCCTCCTCCCCTCCCCCAGCCTCTGGGTTGGTGAGGCCGTGCAAGCCCAGCACCACATTAAACGCCATGCCGGATTTCACCGTCCGCTCGTTCTTGGCGTTCAGCGTCAGACCGGCCTCTCGAAACTCTGGGGAGAGGAGGGGAAAGGAGGGGGAGGAGAGGAGGGAAACAATGCCACACTCGAAACCTGGGTTGGTGAAACCAGCTGCAGGACAGCACAGGGAAGCAGAGGGTAGCATTTTGACTTCCACACTCAAAACGATGCCTATTCCTCAACCGTTTCACACTTATGTCTACCCCTGAAACCCTCTCTCACATGCCTATCCCTGCACCCCTCCTCTCACCGATGCCTATGCCAGTGCCGGCGTGTTTGGTGAGATGAGGCACCAGCTCTGGAGCTTCCCTCTCCACCACCGCCACTGCAGCACGGTACACATCCCCCAGCCGTACCCCCGGCTTGATCGCTGCAATCGCTGCTTCCTGTGCCCTCAGCAATACCTGGTGATGTGGTGGGAGGTAAAAAAAAAGGGGGGGGGGGGGGGAGAGAGAGAGGGGGGGGGGGGGGGGGGTGGGGGGGGAGAGAGGAGAGAGGGGGGGAGGAAAGCAACAAGAATATGAATTGCGTAAGGATTTGAAAATGAGGTGTTGACACCAAAATAGAGTTAATAAAATAAATATATGGAATGAGAATTGACCAGGTTCCGGAATAATCTTCACGAAACGTTTTGAGATCAGCATTATACAAAACCCCAGCCCTCCACATCCCTCCAGTGTAGCCCTTCCCAGGCCTTCTCAAGCACTCCTCTCACCCTCCACCCTCCCCACCTGGTACGCTTTCTCCTGTGCCTTGGTAGCATCAATCAGGTAGGTGCGCGCCACATTGGAGCAGTAGGAGGCGTATCTGGCACCGATGGCACAGATGACGGCACAAATTCAACCCCTCCCCCTTTCTCCCCTCACCTGGTACGCCTCTCACCTGGTACGCCTTCTCCTGTGCCTTGGTGGCGTCTATGAGGTAGGTGCGCGCCACATTGGAGCAGTAGGAGGCGTATCTGGCACCGATGGCACAGATGATGACGCCCATGGAATCGTAGCAGAGAGGGTCGTCGCTGCTCACTGCTGACGCTCGCAAGTCATATTGCCCTCCACTCTGCCGAGGGAAAAACACAGGGGAGGGATGGGGGTGGGCGGAAGAGAGGGGAAGGGTGAGATAGGATGGTGCAGATGATGACGCCCATGGAGTAGTGACACAAATGAATTGTCTCTGCTCACTGCTGACGCCCTCGGGTCGTACTGGTCCCCGCTCTGAACAAGAGAACACAGGGGAGGGGTGAAGGGAAGAGGAAGGGATGGAGAGAGGTGATGGCGCAGATGATGACACCCATGAAGTCATAACACAGTGGGTCGTCGCTGCTCGCTGCTGACGCCCTCAGGTCGTACTGCCCTCCGCTCTGAACGGCGAGGGGTTTGTGGAGGTGTGGACAGAGTGAGAGGGGAGGGATGCAAGGAGAGAAGGGGTGGAGAGAGGGGATGGAGAGGGGATGGAGAGGGGATGGAGAGGGGATGGAGAGGGGATGGAGAGGGGATGGAGAGGGGATGGAGAGGGGATGGAAAGGGGATGGAGAGGGGATGGAGAGGGGATGGAAAGGGGATGGAGAGGGGATGGAGAGGGGATGGAGAGGGGATGGAAAGGGGATGGAGAGGGGATGGAGAGGGGATGGAAAGGGGATGGAGAAGGGATGGAGAGGGGATGGAGAGGGGATGGAAAGGGGATGGAGAGGGGATGGAGAGGGGATGGAAAGGGGATGGAGAGGGGATGGAGAGGGGATGGAGAGGGGATGGAGAGGGGATGGAGAGGGGATGGAAAGGGGATGGAGAGGGGATGGAGAGGGGATGGAGAGGGGATGGAAAGGGGATGGAGGGGGGATGGAAAGGGGATGGAGAGGGGATGGAGAGGGGATGGAAAGGGGATGGAGAGGGGATGGAGAGGGGATGGAGAGGAGCGATGGAGAGGAGGAAAGGAAAGGTGGGATGGAGAGGTGGGTGGGATGGTGGGACGGAGATGGTAGAATAGAAGAAGACTACAAAAGTGACAAACATCAGGCGGATCACAGCAGAAAAAATGTGCCGTCACAGTTAACTTACCTGCAAGACGGGGGGAGTGCAGACATGGCAGTTACCTGGAAGACAGGTGTTATGCACCTGGAAGACGGGCGGGTAGCAGATGTACCTGGAAGACGGGCGGGTAGCAGATGTACCTGGAAGACGGGCGGGTAGCAGATGTACCTGGAAGACGGGCGGGTAGCAGATGTACCTGGAAGACGGGCGGGTAGCAGATGTCGCAGTTGTCGGGTTTGAGCTTGACTTTGATCTTGGCGGGGTCGGTGATGACCTCCTCCGTCTGCTCCATCAGCTCCGCCCCTCCAAACCCTCCCTCTCTCCACTCCACTCCACACACACCCAGCAAGCAGCGCACATGCCACACGCACCTTCAAAGGGGCGCGCAAGACCATTCGGAATACCTGGAAGGCGGGGGGGTAGCAGCACAGGTGGCAACCAGTTACCTGGAAGGCAGGGGTTACGTACCTGGAAGACGGGCGGGTAGCAGATGTCGCAGTTGTCGGGTTTGAGCTTGACTTTGATCTTGGCGGGGTCGGTGATCACCTCCTCTGTCTGCTCCATCAGCTCCGCGTGCGTCATGCTGCGCTCCTCGTCTATCAGCACCTCCATCTTCGGCACCACGAACGCCTGAGGTTGGGGAGGGAGTGAGACATGGCCGGGGAAGGAGGGGAAGGAGGAGAGAGAGGGGAATGAGGGGAGGCAAGTGTGTCATGCTGCGCTCCTCGTCTATCAGCACCTCCATCTTCGGTACCACGAACGCCTGAAAGGGGAGGGGCGGGACGAAGGTGGGGATGGAGAAGCATGAGGGGAGACAAGTGCGTCATGCTACGCTCCTCGTCTATCAACACCTCCATCTTCGGCACCACGAACGCCTGACAGGGAGGGGGCGATGGGAGAGTGCAAAATGGGAGCGTGGGGAGAGTAGAAAAGAGGTAAGGAGAGAGAAAAGTGTGCCATGCTACACTCCTCGTCTATCAACACCTCCATCTTGGGCACCACGAACGCCTGGGAGGGGGGGAAGCGGGGAGAGACGAGAGCGGGGTCGAAATGAGGAGACGGAGAGGAAGGGAAGGACGAGCAGCGCTCGTCGTTCATCAGAACTCCATCCGCGGCATCACAAACGCCTAGAAGAAAGAAGGCGGGCCGGCCGACCCCTCCCCACCCCATCCCACCTCACAGCAACCCTACTCCACCCCATCCACCCCATCATCCAATCATTCGCGTCTTTCATCCAGACCCACCCCATCCCAGCCCACCCCACCCGACCCAACCCCACCCCATCCAAACCCATCACTCCACCTTGAGCGCCTGCGCGCTAAGGAACGCGGCCTTCTTGATATTGATCACCTCGCCCTCATCCTTAACCGCCAGGACATCCCCTCTTTCATCCAAACCCACCACATCCAACCACATCCAACCCCATCACACCTTGAGCGCCTGCGCGCTAAGAAATGCGGCTTTCTTGATATTGATCACCTCGCCCTCATCCTTAACCGCCAGAACATCCCCCAGCGCCGGCCCCACATCCACCGTCTCCAACCCCTCTCCACCACTCTCCCCGCCCTCGCCCCCACCCGCTGCTGCCTCCACTGCCGCCGCCCATTTCTCCATAATCGCCCCCTCCGGGGCCTCCTTTGCCAGCACGCCCAGCCGCACCGGACCTCCGCCTGCCGAACCTGCGCCGGAGGCTCGGATGGCGTCGATGACCTGCGCCATCTGGGAGGACCCGTCCTCGCTGCGAGGCTTGGGATGCAGCACCATCCCCACTCCGCCTGGCGCGGGGGGGAGGGAAGGGGGAGGGGGAGAGGGGAACGGGGAATGGGGGAAGAGGACGGGGGACAGGTAGAGGTCGCTTAGGTCAAAATACTACTGGCCGTCCTTGCTGCGAGGCTTGGGGTGCAGCACCATCTCCACTCCGCCTGGCGCGGCGAGAAGGGGGTAAGGGAGAGGAAAGGGGAGGAGGGGGAGGAAAGGGGGGGGAGGAAGGGGGAGTGGGGAGGGGGGAGAGGGGGGGGTGGGGGAAGTGGTCTGGTAAGACAGATATTGAAATCGTCTATTGGCTGGTCAATTAGGGTGGCCGGTCACTTCAGGTGTATATATACTCCACTGTCTACCCTAACCTTGGAACACCGCTCCCTTACCCCATCCAACCCCCCTCCCTCCCTCACACCCTTCCCTCTCTCCGGATTCTCATTATCCGAACGTCTGACGCATCTCCCCTTGTCTCTCCCGGGCTGATACTATCGTCTGCCCTCGCTCCTAACACCCGCTCTCCCCTCCCCCATCCAACCTCCCTCCCCGCCTCACACCCTTCCCTCTCTCCAAATCCTCATCATCCAAACATCTAACACATCCCCCCTTATCTCTTCCGAACTGATCCCAGGCAATCTCTCCCCCATACCGGATTTCTCCGCGCACACGCGCCTGACGGCCTCCAGATGCTGTGCCTTCTTCTGGCTGCACACCACGTGCACCGCTCCGCCGCTTCCGCCGCCTTCCCCGCCGGCTCCGCCGGCTCCGCCGGCTCCGCCGCCCAGCAGAAACACCATGACAGTCTCGGGGAATTCGTAACCCAGTAACCAGATCTGCAGCGCCGACGACTTAAGGTATCGCATGTCCTCGCTCGCCGGCGGAGTCGCGACGGCGAACGCGCTCGTGTTACCCCACGAACGGCTCTCGTCCTTTCGCCAGCTGTCGTAGAGAAGCTTCAGGCGGCGGCCGAACGTGTCCAGATCGAGCTGTAGCCCGCTTCCGCCGCCGCCGCCTCCGGAGGGTTTGGAATCTCCCATCTCGACTGTTTACGTACTTTTATTGATATAATTGGGTGGCTTAGTATCAATTCTCAGTTATTCCGCTCTCAGAATGGGAATAAAGGGTAGTATGCTGTCTAGACGGTAATATGAAACGTTTCGAATATCTAGATATTGCTATACATGAAGCTCGAGCAGGAAACACAATCTCTCAGGATCTGCGATTTGCTTGGGACGCCCAAATTTCGGTTGGAGATGCTTCACGGAGCCTCGTTTCAGAAACTGTCGGGCTTTTGCGACTCCTGATTGCTTTATCACTGAGATAGGACGAGTGTTCTAAAGAGCACCCGCTTATAGTCGATCGGGAAGCCTCAGGCACTCAGAATTACTCGTCCACGTGATTTCTCGTGCGACGAAGTGACCATAAATCTGCTTAGCCAAGCTCTCATCTGCGAACAAGATTCCGCAAAACCTGGTGCCGCGAACGTCACGTGGAGATGGGAGAGAAGGTTCTGAAGAACACGTACGGCAGCACCACGTGCAGCAGAAACAATTCTCCCTACATAAAGCAACTAGGTCCTTACGCACGCCTTGGCTTAGCTAATGGCGGGATCGCGTGGATCCTAGGTGAGGACTCATGCTAGGGAAAGAGGAGTTATGATTTGGAAGCATGAACATAAGAACTACACGTGTGCGAAGTGGACAACTGATATCGCGAAAGACTGTTGAATGTTGCTGGAAGGCCATATGATAACTCTGAATTGAGAAATTGAATCCTATACACATCATATTACAAATTCTATCACAAATCATAGAGAAGCTGCCTCTAGGCAAGCAAAAAGAGCATCCGCCTGTGGGACATCAGATGTCCAAGAGAATCATAGATAAGAAAACTAGGATAAAATGAAAGGGCCTGTTTTCCACGAAGTTGTTGTAACGAGGATAATCTGCACCGCACCCCTCCAAGCGTGCATGAGGCACGCGCCACGCTCGGGTAGAGACAGATCAGCACCCATCTACACCGAGCGGACAACAGTAGCGAGGCGCGATAATAAGTGACCCTGCGCGGTCCGCAACACGGCAAGGCTCTCTGCCTTGATCCGCGCGTCCATCGCGGTATTCCTCTCCAACTGAACCACCGCGGACTGGAGTTCAAAAAGCATCTTCTTCACAGCAGCAGGACACGTCACGTCAATCCCAAGGTCGACGCTTGGCTGACCCAACCTCGGCTGTTCCACACTCAGCTGCTGCGAGCAGACGTCACCCCGACACCCGCTTGCGGAAGGAACGGAAGTCGATGTGGATGAGTCACGGCGAATAAAGGATGACTCAGACCGTGAGCCTTCAGATTCGGGATCGTTGCTACACACGGAAGCGGTATCGTCGTCAGTTTCGGGAGCCTGTGCCGAGACACGGCGCGAAACCGCCGCAGCCGCCGGCGGCAGCGGCGCTTCAGACGCCACCGCAGCTCCCATGTTCTGCCTCTGCCTCTGCGCCTGCTTGAACGCAGCGAACAGCTGAAGCGCCTTGCGCGCTGACGGCTGCTGCGCGCCGAGCTGCGCGTGGAGAAACAGAAGGAACCCGTTCACGTCGTTTCCAAACTCCTCCTTCATCGCGACGCGATCCCTCAGCTTGCCCACCGCCGCGTCCCACTGCGCGAGATTCGCGGGCGGCAGAGAGCCACGCAGCGACGACGTCAGCCTGTCGTACTTCACGAGCCGCTCCGCCACGTCAGCGTCGCACGGAAGCACCGCTGGGAGTCCCGACGCCGCGGCACCGACCTCGAGCGCGTTTGACGGGACTTGCAAGGGGCAATCCGAGGGATAGGTGGACCGAAGCTGGCTGGTAACCTCCTCGTCGAGTCGGGCTGCGGCGTGCGAGCGCTTCACGGCGCGGCGGAGGGCCTCTACAGGCGGGAGCGGACAGCGTGCGGGGTGAGCGGCGGGAGCTGCGGCGGGAGCTGCAGGAACCGCGGGGAGTGGCGGATTGGTCCGCCGAAGTGGACTGGCGCTGAGGACGCGAGGAATCTGGGGAATTGCGGAAGCGGGGGATTGCGCTTGGGGCTTGAAGCGGCGGAGCATTGCGAGGAAGGGGAGCGCGGCATTGGTGTTGTCGTCACACGGCGAACGTTCCAAAATCGCGCCGTTACACGGCGGGCACGGTGGGGGAGAGGCGATCGGAGTAGAGGATAGGCTGAGCGTAGTATCGAGGAGAGCCGCTGGAGGGACGGAGATGGGGGACGATGAGAGGGATCGAAGGCGTTTGCTTGCGTGTAACGAGTCGGCGAAGAGCGGAAAGCCTACAGTGGGGAGAGGCTCCATGGCAGGAGCGAAAGGGAGGAACGCGCGGAAGTGCGTGTGGTCTGGAGTGGGCGAGTTGAACTGGAGAGCCATGGACATCAGCGAAGTATGGGTGGGCTTGGTTCGGAAAGGAAACTCTGGCGGGTTTCAGATTGCGAGCGAGGGTGGAAATTCGATGGGTGATGATGGTGGAAGCGATGAGGTTGGCTTTTATCCAGGACGTTGGGATGGGGTGAGGGGCAGAGGGGGGCTGGATACAATGGCTGCATGGATGGTTGCACCGTATGTGTGTGTGTGTGAGAGCGCGTACAGTTTCATTGCAATGCACTGCTGGGCTGTGTGAGGGAGAGGCACGGCGCGGACCAGGGGGATGCGTGCACAGTACAGCGCAGCAGTAGCCCACGTCTTTCGTCACGTCAGCATGCGGAAGTGCAGTGAAAGGGAAAGGAAAACGAAGGGTGTGTGGTGGGGGAAGTTGGGGGGGAGTGGGCTGCGATGCGAGGAGATGGGGGAAGGTTGTTGAAGAGTCCGTCCTTTCGCCAGGTGGAATGGGCATTGGCCAATTTCTCCAGCCTCGCATCGCACACGATTTTCTTTTTTTCGTGTACTCCCTCAGTCGGAGATTTTCCGACTGGGAAAATGGTCGCAGACAACACTGCAATTGCTGCCCGACACAGACATGGAGTTGCTCGTGCGCCTCTTGACTCTTGAGGCAACCGTTCAGTGGTACAGTACCTTCTGAAGAAACACAGAAAACTTCACCACTGCCCTAGCATGCCAGTGTGATGTGTTGTCGGCATATGGCATTATGCCAGCACCGATGTTCTAGAAGACACGCACGCTTCGTTTCCTTTGCCTTGCTGGATGCGGTCTTGCTCCTCGAGTGGTCGGCTAAAGCGTGTGTCTTTACTGCTACTCGCCCTTCAATTTGTGGCTGAATTTCCGACAGAAATTGGATCGCATAATCGAGGTCACTTGCGACTTGTTTTCTGTTCGTGATGGGCGGCTTCTGCAACTCGACCAACCTCTCTGATGAAGTGCTGGATTGGAAATGAAAAGAGGCTGCAACTGCTGAGAGATCTTCCAACAAACATTCTACTGACGTGGCGCTTCAGACGAGACAGATCTGATCATAATGGAATGGCTCTTCCCTTCCCCTTAGCCAGGTCAGAGGAAACAAAACATATGAAAGCGTAAGGAAGGAACTGTTCGCACGCCTGATTCCAACGCCACAGAAACGCCACCGTTGAATGCAAGAAGCCATGCTTTGTGACTCAGCATGCTGATGCGTTGGCGAGCCAAGGCGGAAAACTAGCTCGCGCTGGAATCCAGTCCGGCGCCAACGAGTGGAAGTAGGGTGTTGGGGACTCGGGGATTGGCTTCGGGGTGGTGTGGAATGAATGGGAGAATCCGGAGATAGCGTATGGCTCTAAGTGGTTTCAACTTGCCTGAAATAAATGGATGGGGGAAGGAGGGAAAGCAAACTCAATGTGTGTCATAAAACTTTTCGTGCAATATCCTCATCAGCACGAAGTGCACGTATCGCGGACTGTTAGGGCATCCAGCGCGAGTTGGTAAAGGCCAATCAAACATCGCGAGCGAATCGCGACCACGTGCTATGGATGTGCAGTGTAAGGCTCGTTACGGTACAGTGTATTTACAGTGTACGCCGCATAAATGCTCAATGGAGGAGGTTGGTGAAACAGAAAATCAACCAAGGTCCCAGACACCACATGGCATCTGAAATCCGTGTAACCACAACTAACCACCACATGGCAGCTTATCATTACTAATTTCAGGAAGGAATTTTGAGAACCAGACATGGCTATCATCAAGGTGCTGTAATCTAAATTCTGGAGACTAGAAGGTTGTAAGCTGAGAACCACACTGATAAAGTGCTGGCTGCACAAAAGCTGCAGTAGAATTCCTCCTACGTTGCTTGATCACCGCCGTATGGTGTAATATGGGAACTGTGTAGCATTAGTGTTGCGCACCGCTTCCACTGTTGCATTAAGCTGCCCAGTACAACAAATAAAGTGCAATCCTACACTCCAACCTAATACTGTATATGTGCTACCATAAGTAGGCTCTCTGTGCATTCAACCTTCAAAAACTGTCAAAACTGTGTCGCAATGACATACATGGTTTCACTGGTTCCATTGCTGCTCTGACCCCTGCTGCTGCTGCGTTAACAGGTGAGCTTGCTGCAGAAGGTCAGGCACTTGCTGCTGCTGCTGCTGCTGCTGCTGGTGTTGATTCGGAAAACTAGACAAGCCAGAATACTGCTGCTGCTCCTGCGCCTGCTGCTGCATCAACATCTGCTGCTGCTGCTGCTGCTGCTGAATATGCTGGTGCTGCATCTGCTGCTGCTGCTGCTGCATATGCATCTGTTGCATCTGCATCTGCTGCATCTGAATCTCCTGCTGCATGTCAATCTGAGCCTGCTTCATCCTGGAATACTGCGCCCTTCCCTCCACCGAATGAGCCATAGCCTGCATCCGGCTCACCGCCAGACTCACCTCTCTCTCCTCCCCATCCCCACCCCCCGCCTCCCCGCCCTCACTCCCGTACAGCGCACCATCCGCATCGGAGTGGCAGTCTCCCTGCTGGGCTCGGAGCCCCCGCACGCCGCTGCGGCGGAACCGCCAGCGCAGGACCGCCTTGGCAATGATCCCCAGGCCCCACTTCATCTTCTTGTACTTCACCCGCTGGATGTGCCCCTTCACGTGTGCCTGGGGGAACCGAGAGGGATTGGGGAGAATGGGGCCAGGTGGGGGGGTGGGAGGGGGAGGGTTGATTGCACTGGTTCGCGATGATCCCCAGGCCCCACGTCATCTTCTTGTACTTCACCCGCTGAATGTGCCCCTTCACGTGCGCCTGGGTAAATCGAGAGGGATGGGGGAGAATGGGGGCAGGTGGGGGGTTGGGAGGGGGAGGGTTGATTGCACTGCCTTGGCGATGATCCCCAGGCCCCACTTCATCTTCTTGTACTTCACCCGCTGGATGTGTCCCTTCACGTGCGCCTGGGGGGTTGGGGTTCGAGGCGCGGGAGGAAGGGTTGGAGCAAGGGAATTGGACTATTTATCTACTAATCCCCCTGACCCAACATTACTCTACCACTCATCCTCTTCCAGTCACCCTACAAGCCACCATCCTCACCTGAATCTTGATCACGCGCTGGCGCATGCGAAGGAACTCCCTGCGGTGCTTCCACGTGCGGAAGGTGCACGTCATCACTCCCCCTACAACAGAGCCAACCATCCGCCCTGCCAGTCACCCTACAAGCCACCACCCTCACCTGAATCTTGATCACGCGTTGCCTCATGCGCAGGAACTCCCTGCGGTGCTTCCACGTGCGGAAAAGGCACATCCCCTTATCTCTGGCCCTACAACCGTACCACTCACCCTGCCAGCCTTCCTCACCTGAATCTTGATCACGCGCTGTCGCATGCGCAGAAACTCCCTGCGGTGCTTCCACGTGCGGAACCGCCTCTGAATGCTCCGCGCCGCCTCCGACTGCTTGAAGGTCTTGTGCCCTCGGAACGCGTTCTGAATCTTCCTAGCCGCAACCAGCATCCTCGCCTCCTCCTCATCCAACTCATCGTCCCCTCCAATCCCCAGCCCTGCCAACCCTCCCCCTATCACCCAACCAACACACCACCACCCTCACCTGAATCTTGATCACCCGCTGTCGCATGCGCAGAAACTCCCTGCGGTGCTTCCACGTGCGGAACCGCCTCTGAATGCTCCGTGCCGCCTCCGACTGCTTGAAGGTCTTGTGCCCTCGGAACGCATTCTGAATCTTCCTAGCCGCAACCAGCATCCTCGCCTCCTCCTCATCCAACTCATCATCCCCTCCAATCCCCAGCCCTGCCGCTGCCTCCGCTGCAGCTGCCACTGCTCTCTCCTGCTCTCTAAGCTCCTCCTCCTCCTCCTGCTGCTGGCGCCTTCGCTCTGAGTGCTTCCTGAACCGCTCCTGGATCAACGCTGCGGCCTGCGCCGTCCTTCGGATCGCATCCAGCGTTTCCTGCATGTCGGGAGATGCGGCAACAGCAGCGGGACGAGCCGCCCCCGGGAGACCACCGGCAGCAGCAGCACCAGCAGCAGCAGCAGCAGCAGCACCAGCACTGCCGCCACTGCTGGCACCTGCTGCTGCTGCGGCCACGGCTGCGTGACCGGCAGCAGCGGCGGATTGGAGAAGAGAAGGGTCGGTGGCTAGCTGGTGCTGGTCCTGAATGGTCATGGAGGAGAGGGAGGCGTTGAGAGAGGACTCTGCTAGATACGCCGCGATGCCCGTGTGCCCGCATGCTGATGCGGTGTCTGCTGCTGTGCGCTCCGCCCCTCCCACTCGCGCGAGCAGAGAGGAGTTGGCTCCAGCAGCCACCAGTGCCACCACCATTGCCTCTCTGCAGGAAGAGAGCAGCAAGATGACAGAGAGAAAAACGGGGAACAGTGAGGAAAGAGAGAGACGGGGGGAGTGGGGAGGAGAGAAAGGCGTTGAGAGACGACTCTGCTAGATACGCCGCGATGCCCGTGTGCCCGCATGCTGATGCCGTGTCTGCTGCTGTTCGCTCTGCCCCTCCTACTCACGCCAGAAGAGAGGAGTCGGTGCCCGCTGCCACCAGCGCCACCACCATTGCCTCCCTGCAGGGACATGCGCGGTGAGGGGGTGGGGTGGGAACAGATGGGGCAGGGATGGGATGAGCAGCAGACGAGGAGTGTATACGAGGCAGTTTCAGTGGTGGAGAAGCGTTGGCACCCGCTGCCACCAGCGCCACCACCCTTGCTTCCCTGCAGGGAGGTGTGTGGGTGGGAAGAGGGAGTAGGGCAGGGATGGGATGAGGAAAGGAGGAGAGGGAATCAGGCAGTATCAATCATGACCCCGGAGCCACCTCAGAACCGCCACGAGACGACCCATATGCAGCGACATGCCCTCAATCACACCAACTCACCTCCCTTTAGCAGCAGCCCAGTGTAACGCCGTACACCCCCTCTTGTCTCTTGCATTCAGGTCCCACCCCACAGCCATGAGCAGAGGCACAGCCCACGGCCACCCCAGTGCCGCCACCAGATGCCCCAGGCCCAGCCCCATGCCCCTCCTGCCCGCCTCCCTCGCTGCATCGCTGTTCAGCGCCAACCAACGGCCCAGATGCTTCCGCATCAGCGCCTGCAGCAGCACGCCCTCCAACCGCACTGGACTCCCTGGGACTCCCTCCACTCCATCTCCTCCTGCTCCTCCTCCTCTCTCTGTATCAGCCCCTCCTTGACATTGCAACCTGAGAGCATACTCATCTGCATCCTCCTCATCACTCCCATACCCCCACATGCTCATCTCTCTCTCCTCATCATCCTCCTCCTCATCCTCTTCCTCCTCTCTATCCACCCCCATTCCCTCCCTCCCCGCCACGTCCTCCCCCCTGTTCCCATCCGGCCTGCCCCTCCACTCCGCTTCATCCGGGCATGCTGCTGACGTGGACGCCAGGGCCTCATCCACCCACGCCCAGTCAGCGCTGACGTCCGCCAGGCTGGCGCGATTGATGCGGGAGATGAAACAGAGGAGGCGGCAGAGCAGAGCGCGTTCGGAGAGAAACAGACGGGACAAACTCGGCCTGCTACCATCCCCTTCACCACCCCCACAACCAGCACCAGCACCACCAGCAGCAGCACCAGCACCAAGACCACTTTTGCCAATGGTCCTGTTTCGGTCTAGAGCGAGGCTCTTTTTAAATGACTGCCAAGGAGGGAGGAAGTCGAAGGGAACAGGAGGGCTACACGGCACTCTCTTCACCGCCTTGCCTGCCTCCCCTCCTACCCCTCCTCCCGCTGCTCCAACCCCCGTCCCCCCACCCCCTCCTGCTAACGCCATGTCTTGATTCATTGCATCTCCACCCCCTCCGCCTCCCCCACTCTCCACACCTGCAGACCCACCACCCTCTCCCTCACCCCCAGGAGCAGTCACAGTCACAGCAGCAGCAGGGGTGCAGGTCACACGCAGGCTCACCCTCCCCTGCTTGTGAATGGGGGCCACGCACCGCAGTACACCGTGCACAACCTGCTCAGCTTCCACCTCCACCTCTCCAAACGTCACCCCCCACCGCACGCCCCATACTGTATCCCCCCGCCCGAAGCTCCCGCTTCCGGTTCCCCCAAGCCCGCCCCCCCCAAGCCCTCCCGCGCCGAAACTGCCCCCGCCCCCGCTAAGGCTGCCGCTGCCTGAGAAGCTGCCGCGGGGGGAGGAGCGCGTGTGGGGGCTTGGGGTGCCTCTGGGATCGTGGACAGAGCCTGCTAGCAACACCTGGGGGAGAAGGGGGGGTGGCAAGGGGAATCGGAGTGGGGGGAGGGGGAGGAGGGCAGGGGCCTCAGGCGCGTGTGGGGGCTTGGGGTGCCTCTGGGGTCGTGGACAGAGCCTGCTAGCAACACCTGAGAAGGGGTTGGGAGGGGGGGTGTGGAGGACGGGTTGGGAAGAAGGGAAAGGGTCGGTTGCTACTTCTTAACAGAGCGTCAGCCTCTTTTTCACTTGTGTTCCACCACCACTAGCAGCAGCAGCATCCCCAGCAGCACCACCACCCTCACCAGCACTCCCAGCAGCAGCAGCAGCAGCAGCAGCAGCAGCAGCAGCAGCAGCAGCGGCACAGCAACATAAGCAGCAGCAGCAGCAGCAGCAGTAGCAGCACCAGTACTCTCACCTTAACGCCCCCCATGGTGGCAGCATAGGTGGGCGCATAGTCGGCAATGGAAAACGTCACCATCGGCCGCAGAGGGTCACCATCAGGTCTCCTTTTCACCTGCCTACCACCAGCACCAGCACACCAGCGCACCAGCGCACCAGCACACCAGCACACCAGCAGCACCAGCACACCAGCAGCACGCACCTTGACGCCCCCCATGGTGGCAGCAGAGGTGGGAGCATAGTCGGCAATAGAGAAGGTCACCATCGGACGCAGAGGTGAGCTACCTTACTGTACCCGCCGACCATCACCAACACTACTAACCTTGACCACCACCACCAGTACGCACCTTGACGCCCCCCATGGTGGCAGCAGAGGTGGGAGCATAGTCGGCAATGGAGAAGGTCACCATGGGGCGCGGCGAGTCTGCTGCTGCCACCGACCCCATGCTTCCCATCGACAGCATCCCGCCGCCTATCCCCCTCCTCGCCCCCAACCCTGCTCCTCCTCCTCCCCCCACGCTCCCTCCCCCTCCCCATCCTCCTCCCCCCACGCTCCCTCCCCCTCCCCATCCTCCTCCCCCTGCTCCTCCTCCTGCTCCTCCTCCCGCCCCCACTCCAGACACCCCACCACTAGCAGCAGCAGCAGGAGCGGTGCTACCAAGAGGGAGCATGGGAGAAGCACCCATGAAGGACAGGTCATACTTGCTGCCTCCCAGGCCTACACCATGCTCCTCCTCGCCGTCCCCCCCCGCCTCCTCCTTCACCCCTAGCTTGAAACTCACCTCCTGCCTTTCCAACCCCGTCTCAGCGCCTCCAAACGACGGGGAAACCATACCGGAAGAGGTGGGGGAGGAGGGGAACGGCTCGGGGGAGGAGAGAGGGGAGGGTGTGGGGGCAGAACGCCGCATGGCTTGGATTCTAACGTCAAACGCGTCACTGCCACCACCAGCTCCAGAAGCAGAGAGGGGAAAGGTACCACCCCCCATAACCGCGTCCTCCCCCACTCCCGCCCCGTCCCCGCCTGCTCCCCCGCCACCTCCAGCACCACCATCCCCTTTATAAACCTCCTCAATCCACTCGCCAAAGCTGTCCAGCTTCCGGAACATTGCAGGTTCGTTTGGCATGCTGCCGCTCTGAGGGATGCTCCCACTCTTAGGCATGCTGCTACCGCTGGGCGGCAGGGGGAAACCAGACAGGCTCCTGTTCGCCCCATCCGTTTGCATCTCATCAAACATGTTGGAGAACCCCGGCCGCCCCGAGCCTCCGGAGCTTCGGAGCTCCGGAGGGTACGCGCCGAGCCAGCTCTCGGGAGGTACGGCCGGAGCTGCGGCGGCTGCTATGGCGGCGGCTGCGGCGGCGGTGGCGGCAGCGATGGCTCGGGGGGAGCCGGAGGCGCCGCCTCCGCTGAAGGCTGCTTCTCTGCCTGCCTCGTTGAGAGGGAGGGTCTGCAGGAGGAGGGAGGACTGGTGTGTAGGTATGGGGAGAATTGGGGAAGCAGGGAGACAGGTGGGGGAGAGAAAGACAGAGGGAGGGCGGGAGGAGTCGGGGGGAGGATGTGGGAAGCAAAAAGGTGAGGATTGAAGGGGGAAGAGAGTGCAAGTCCTGCTGAGGAAGGTGCTTTTGTAGAGAGCTGATTGAGAGGGGGTGAGGACAGAGGTGAGGAGAGAGGTGTGAGGGGAGCGGGGTGAGGAGAGAGGGGTGAGGAGAGAGGGGTGAGGAGAGAGGGGTGAGGAGAGAGGGGTGAGGCGAGAGGAGTGAGGAGAGAAGGGTGAGGAGGGGTGAGGAGAGAAGGATGACCAGAGAGAAGGGTGAGGAGAGAGGGGTGAGGAGAGAAGGGTGAGGAGAGAAGGGTGAGGAGAGAGGGGCGGGGGGAGAGGAGCGGGGAGAGAGGGAGTAAGGATAGAAGGGCGGGGAGAGAAGGGCGAGAAAAGACGAGCATGACAAATACTCTTTGTACCTGCCAACCTCGCATAGCCATTGACGCGCCCACTACACTCGCACACCCATCCTTGCACCAGCCACCGCACCCACATAATCACCCACCCACCCACACACACACACACCAGTCCACCCACCCACACCCACACCTGTCTGCCCACCACCCGCGCGCACCAGGTCAGTGTGTGGACCCGAGGAGCCCGAGCGAGCATACATGAGCGAGTTCAGTCTGGGCCCCACACAGACCGGTTCGCCCCCCACCTACACTGTTTATCCTGCACACACACACGCGCGAACCACCCACGCGCTCATCCGCACGCACCAGGTCTGTGTGTGGGCCCGAGGAGCCCGAGCGAGCATACATGAGCGAGTTCAGCTGCGCCTCTGCTGCGCCCGCTGCTGCTGCCGGCCCTGCTGCTGGCGATGCTGCACTCCCCGAACCAGCAGCACCTGTGCCTGCTGCAGAGGCATCGGCTCCGAACGAGCCTGCAGGAAGGTGGAGGTTCAGCAGGTTGTGGGGGGTGTTTAGGCAGGGGGAGGTGGGGGGATGGGGGTGGGCGGGGGTGGGCGGGGGTGGGCGGGGGTGGGCGGGGGTGAGTTCGTCCAACACCACTGTGTCTTGTAGGAGCGACTGCATGCATTGAGACAGCTTCTGAGGCACCTCAGATTGGGACCGCTTTCTAGGGACCCCAGACCTCATATTGAGACGACTTTTGAGGTGCCTCAACACACTAACAGCAGCGGTAGCTGTACCTGCGAGGCCTGACGCCTTGATGAGCTCGTCGAGAACCACTGTGTCCCGCAGGAGCGACTGCATGTCCCTCTGCTGCTGCTGCTGCTGCTGCTGCTGCTGCTGATGCTGCTCCAGCAGCCTCGAGAGCTGCTGCTGCTGGTTGTTCTGAACAATGGGTATGAGAGGGAACGGGAGAGACGGGAGGTGAGCGCAGGGAGAAGGGGGGGGTGTGCAGCACGGGGAGGGCAGAAGGGGGAGAGGGAGAGGAGAGGGGAAATGAGACCCACCTGCTGCAAGAGGGGATCAGCTGGCCCCGTGACACCCAGGCTGCCGTGCAACCAACTGACAGAGCTGGACGACAGCCCCCCATGAAATCCGCCATCCCCCCCGCCACCTGCTGCTTTGAGTCGACTCAACACCCACCCACCTGCTTTGAGTTGACTCACAGCTCGACTCACCTGCTGCAAGAGGGGATCAGCCGGCCCCGTGACACCCAGGCTGCCATGCGACGACAGCCCCATGAAATCCGTCATCCCCCCCGCCACCTGCTGCCCCTGCTGCCCCTGCGGCGCCTGCTGCTGCTGCTGCTGCAGCAGCTGCTGTTGCAGCAGCCGCAACTGCTGCTGCTGCACCGCCTGCTGCTGCTGCTGACCCACACCCAGCCCAGCACCGTCCATCCCACCGCCAACGCCCCTCCCTCCCCCACCTTGCATATCCAGCTGCGTCCAGTTCAGAGCCGAATCCCCCTCCTCACCAAACCGTTCTGAACCGCTCTCATACTCATCCTCCTCGCCCTCCTCCCCGCGCCTCCCCCCGCCCACGAACGCCCCGGACTCGTTCCCGCCCGCGTTCGACGAGCAGTACTCGTTCCCGTGGCTGGGGGACGCGGGGATATCCATGGAAAACGCGCCCCCGCCCCTTCCGCCCGCCCCCATGCCTGCTCCGCCGCCGCCCGCCCCGCCGCCAGCAATTCCGCCCACAGAGGCGGAACTGGAAGCGTAGGGAAGCCCTATCATGCGGCCGCTGCCACAGCGACTGGTGGAAGGGGTATGCATGCCCATCCCACCCACCCCCCCAACACCCCCAACGCCACCAGCAGCACCACCAGCGGCGCTGGCGCTGCCTATACCCGCTAAAGCCGCGCTGCTTCCCCCGCCCATTAGCGCCATGCCCGCGCTGCGAGCTCCGCCGCCTCCCATCCCGCTCACCCCGCCGCCCACGGACGCGGAGAGGTCGTCTATGCTCATGTCGGGGCCCTGGTCGGTATAGATTGGCACGGAGTCCACCGTGCTGTGGCGGGGCGACTGCTGCGCCCGCCCCGTGCCCTGGAGGATGGGGGGGCGGGAGGTGGGAGGGGAGACACGGCGAAACGAGGTTGGGAGATGCCTGATTCAGAGTTGTCATGGTTCGGGAAATTAGGAGGTCGGAGGGGTTACGGGGGACCGGTGGGATTGGGGGGGAATAGAGGGGAGGGGTCGGAGGGGACGGGGTGCGGGCACGAAGGCAGGTAAGCAGCAGCAGAGTGTGCTAGGAAGGGATACCTGAGCCACTTCGCGGTAATGCACCAAGGCGATGTGCTTCGAAACAAGAAGCACGACTTTTTGTTTCTACAAAAGGAGAGTGTGCGAGGCATGCATGCATGCATCTACCTGAGCCACTTCACGGTAATGCACCAGGACGATGTTCTCGTTCTCGCTGCAGCACAGCAGCACGCGGAGACGAACGTACAGGCACGGGGAAACGTAGAGGGGATCGAATAGGGGGTAGGGGATAAGGTGGGGGGGAAGAGTGGGGAGGGGTATCAGAGTTGAATAACAACAAAACATGCTTAGTGAGATGAGAAGTGATCAGATGGAGAGCAGTGCAAAAGAGAGAAGCTGGTACCGCAGCAGCACGGTGGCGAGAATGAGAACGACAGTTTCAAGGGTCCTGGCACTGGCTCACATGGATCGAGTGGAGCAGGAGAGGGAGGGGGCAAGCGCGGAATCGCAGGTGGACGTGGCGGGGAGCCATGCGCGCAATCACAGGTGGAAGAGGGGCACACGCGCACTCACCCGTGGGGATGGTGAGGGGGAAAATTTGGAGGGGGGGGGGAAGGGAGGAGCATTCGCGCGCTCACCCGTCGAGCAGCCAGTAGCAGCGGCGCTGGAAGCGGTCGTCGCTCTCCGCGTGCGCGTAGTAGCAGTGCAGAATGTCCACGCTGCCCGCCTGCAGAGAGAGAGGGAGAGCGAGAAACGGACAAGGTGAATCGTGAGCCTGGCGGGAGTTGACTCAAAGCTCTCCGCCAGTGCGTAGCAGCAGTGCGGGATATCCACGCTGCCCGCCTGCACCGCACCAAGCCGCGCGCGCGCGCGAACAAATATGGGGGAGTGGGCGAAAGACAGATATATGGATACGTGCATGAGTGTACTGCTGTGTATAATCATGAGTATTTATGCAGCGAACTATGTAAGGGGAGAGGGCAAAGAGCGAATCTCCTGGAGGAACAGCAGCCTGTTGGCATCGTGAGAGAGCACGTTTTGCGCAGAACTGGAAAGAAGCGAAGCGACGAGAAGCGAGCTGCCTGCCATGCAGCCACCGGATCCGTCGACCCAGGCGCAATGCAGAAGAGCATTCTCTTCTTTTGTTTCCTCACGTTTCACTTATTCCTCCTCACATTACTTCCTCTCGAATATTCCACTCATTCCGTTCATTCCCGTGGTCACTCAATCCATCCAATCAGCATCGCGCACGATCCGCACGTACCTTTAGCTTTTCGTGCGCCTCGCGAACGGTCTTGCCGTCCTTCTTCTTGCGCCACACGTGTCCGTCGCGGCGGAAGTATCGCACCACCTTCCGATCGAACAAAAACAGCGATCCGCCTGCGTGCAGCCGTGCCACGTCATCATCGTACAGAGATGGTTGAATGTGAGTTAAACTTTGCGTTAATTTCGGGGATGCATTGAAATTAGGGTTGCTTTGACATCGGGGTTGCATCAACGTTCGGATCGCGTTGTACAACCAGACACGCGTGGTGCGATCTCGACAAACAAAAATCGTACAGTCACTACAAGCACGCATTGTGCGATCGCGACGAACAAGCATCGTACGGTCAACTCGAACAAACAAGATCCATAAATCCAGCGGAGAACACGGGGGAGAGGGAGTGGGGGCCAGAGAGGGAGGAGGGGGGGGGGGAGGTGGGGAGGGGGAAGGGGAGGAAGGGTGGGGAAGGGGAGTGGGGAGATCCCGAGGGCCAACGGTCGACGACCCTTACTTGGCGGCTTGGCGGGCGGCTCTTGGTTGAGCTGGAACTCGTACTTGCGGAAATTCTGCAGGATGTTGCACACCTCGACGGGCTTGAGCCATCGCGTGCGCGCCTCCAGCAGCACGTGCCCAATATCGATGTCCTCTGGTGATCGCGACGCGGACATTGGACATCGTGTTACGGTAGGGAAGAGAATGGAGAAAGGCTTTGTTACACATGACGATGCGGTATAAATTGGAGACAAGAGCACATGTCGCTGCATATGTCCTCTAATCATGTTTGGCGCGCCTCCAGCAGCACGTGCACGATTTCGATGCCTTCTGGTGGTCGCGACGCGGCACGGGGAAAGATCGGAGGGACATTTCGTCACAATAAGGAAAAGACCAGAAACACATTTGGTTAGGATAGGGGAGACATTGGGGAGACTATTTGGTAGACATGGAGATACGATATAATGGAGGTAAGAGCACATGTAGACATGGATCTTGGAACGGGGATGTAACCCTAGTACCTTTTTAGAGATTTGGTTGCACTCAGACTGTACTAAGCAGTGGGCGAGAGTTTCGCGTTTTAAGAAACTGATCCGTGGATCAGTTTACAATAATACGCTTCACGGGAGGCGAGAAACGCCAAGGCTTTTTTTTTTTTTTGTCTGAAATCGCCAGAAACGGAGAGCATGCGGGGGAACGGCAAAGCAAAACCTTGCCTGTTGGAAAAGGCTGCTTCCGTAACGCCATGACAGGTAGTAATGGTGAGCTCCAATTAGGGTATATGTGTGACGACTATCAGATCGATGTCAGATGACCTAGAGCTGAAGCATCGACCACAATGTAGGAGGCAATGTGACCACACGGGATCGGGTATTTAATTTAGGCATGCGACGGATCCGGACCATAGATTAGAAACGACGATCTGGAAATGGGGTGAAGCGACATCTCGCACAGTACACGAAAAAGGGAGGAACCCTAGGACAGGGGATATTGGTTCCTTCAAAATCGTATAAATCGCATTTGTGGGGGGAGCTGTGCTGGTGCTGACTAGGACACTGCAATTGGCGAGCCAAGGCAGTCCTGTGTGGAATGTGGTGGCGGGGGAAGAGGTCCATCCGTCTTTGACTCCTTGTCTTCTCTGCATTGCTGCTGCTGCCCCCCTAACGGAACTGTTTCCAAAAGACTATCGACTGCTGCTGTACTGTCTAACTGTTGTGTGTGTTTCTGGCTTGCTTGTCGAATCGAAACATAAGACGCTGGCTGGAAATGATGCAAGCAGAAAGGGATAAGGCCAAGCAGATGTTTGTGAGACTGTTTGGTTCGGCTCAGTGTGCGTGCAGTGCAGTGCAGTGGACCATCACTTGTTCCACGTGCCCCTTCACATTCAACAGACATCACTGGCGAACTTCGCTTGCTTCGCTTCTCGTGAAGAGAATCATGTCATGGGTCGCCAAGATAGGCCAAGATCAATCTGGAGCAGAAAAAAAGAGAGATTTGCTCCAAACCCTTGTTTGGTGATTCGGCGTTGCACACGTGGCTTCGAATTGCTCGCGTGGTTCTAAAATTGAACGATAATTGCTCGAGTGGTTTTGGCAGGGAATTCCAGCTGACTTTTTTTTCCCAGGCACAATACCCAATTAGGGTATTTATCCCTCAATGTTAGAATTATTGAGCGATCACATAATTGTAACCGACGTAAATGCGCGGTCATACCATTGTGCCTCGCAAAAAACGCTCGGTCATATAGGGTGTGCCCGAGCGAAACAATATATGATCGCGCGCCTATCTGTCCGCGAGTGATTGGTCGTGCGATGGCTCTATATGACCGCGCATTAACATATATATCCCTACACATGACCCAAAAAACTAAACCCAATCGGAAAGGGATGCGACTCAGGGAGGCATCAACCCTAAAAACATTGCTCTTTCCCGTGTTTCGGGTTGATCCCTCCCGAAAATGCGTCCAGGTCCCTATGGGTTTTATTATTTCTCATACGCGGAATAAGACTCGTGTAACGCAAACATTTTGGGAATAAATACCCTTGTAGGGTAATGTACCGGGTTAAAAAAAGCTGCGGGGATTTTCTGGCAAGACCACTCGAGCAATTATCGTGATATTTCAGGACTACGCGAACAATTCGAGGCTAAGTTTATGGGAGGGGAATGATATACATCGACCGTAAAAGGTCAGGGTGGCGAAAAATATGACGCAACTGTGCCTTTCAACACTGAACCGAAACCTGGTGTTACGACATGTTGCGACCCAAAGAGGTCGGCTCGACCAGGTCGGATTTCTCATTTCTAGGAACGCTGCGTTGCGGATCTAGCTAACCAGCTCGACCCAACCGCGTCGGGTTGGGTCTGCCCAATCTGGGTAAACCTAGTCGGGCCAACCAGGTCGACCCGATCAGCTCAGCAAGATTACGACGAGTTACCTAAGCTAACGAATTAAAAATTCTCGCTAGAAGTTCGTGTTAGAGTCGTTTACGAATTGGAAATCCAGCGAGGCTAGTTTCGGAGTAACCGTTATTTCAGCGAGTTTCTGACTCTCGTCACAGCTCGCCTAGCCTGCAGGGAAGCTAGAAACAAATTGCGCTGTAAGTGCTTGGAGGGTGTGCCAAAATTTCTCAGAGATTCTTCGAGGCCCCGAGCCGCGATGGTCAGGTCGACCAGGTCAACCCAACCCAACCCAACCTTGTTGGGTCGCAACACGTCGTAAGCGTCCAAGGTAGGTTGTTGAGGTCAGACTCAAGTACACTTGATACGCGTAAGGGGCACGTCAACTTCGCCTTGGAATTCGTGTCTAGTTCCTTATGTCGCACTAGGCCTTTTGTATATCTCTTTTGGTATACACTAGTACCAATCAGTACATCCAATAGAATATGCATATTACTATTTAGCACGCTTTCTGCTTTGGAGCCATTGAAACTGTTATGCACCTCACTCAGTCACCACAGAGAAGGTCGAGCAAGTCTTTGATCTTCTAAGTGGATCTATCTGTGCATCACTTATGACACTAATGCCGTGTAATTATGATGTAATCGATAATGGAATTACAAAATATTCACCTCATTCATCCAAAACAGCTTATCACATGTTAGCTAGAGTCGATATATATACTCGTTATAGGGGTACAGAAGTTATAAAGGGGGGGTTGCAAGGGAAATTCGTATTAAAGGGACGTATGCCAAAATAATAAGGGGGTAGTCCTCTATATTCTGGGGTTTTTTTAAAAGGACCCAAAAACTGCCCTTCATGATTCTATAAGGCCAAAAAAAGCGCCTTCAACATTTGCCCTAAATTTCGTAGCCATTAAAATCACTTGCCTTGCAATCGATTGCTCCGCACACGAAGTATATGGTTTCTGAATGGTGCACGCAAATGCAATATATAAGATTGAGCATCATGTTTACATCTAGGGCTCTTCTCACTCATAATTTTAACGTCAGCCGTCTAGTGGTTGGGTGGTGGCAAAATGGGACTCGGAAAGTGCTAGGTATACTACATCAACTACAGTTACCTTCTTACTTGATTATTTTCCTATTTTTCAAGGGAAACACGGTTACCTTTTTTGCGGTCGATAAAATCTATAATCTTGGCATCAACTTGTAAAGCGTAAATAGTTGCCTATGCTTCTCTATCATTGATACTCTCTATGGGACTGTAGACAGTTAAGAGAGAAATCTTTGAAGTAGCGCAATGAAAGTTGCACCATCGCATTGAAACCCTCGATTTTCAAAGCTAATCAGTGTCGGTAATATGGCTAGTTTTATCTGTATAAATCACCCTGATACCCTGATTATCAGGGTGGTTTTTGGAAGTCACACTAATGGCCTGGGGTATTTTTTTTGGAGCTAGGATTTTCCTGATATGCCAGAGTTTACATTTAAGGCACACAGATGCCTCAGGGTTACCGATCTTCATCATGAAATTTACCCTGAAGCGAGTACGGGACGCGCGACGGGCAGAATCCGATGCGCGCCCGGGGCGTGCAACAAGCAAGGCGCGCGACGAGCAGAAAATCGACGCGCGCCCAGGGCGCACGACGGGCAGAAAACCGACACGCGCCCGGGGCGCGCGACGGGCAGAACAATAGCGCATTTAGCGGAAGCTAACAGTAGGCCTAGGATCGATGTGCTCTGATACCATGTCAGAAACTAACGAGCAGGAGTGATTGCATTGGCATCAAACTAAGTACAAGTACTAACCCTAATTGGGTTGTACCCCATATAAGCTACCCTAGTACAACCTACACAACATAAGCAGCATTATAGTTTGACACATACCCCCCCTCCCCCCCACTTCTCCCACCCCCCCTTTCCCGTAACCCAGGATTCCTGATTGCCAACTGTCGAAACAGGAATTTCAGCCTCGACAATACATGTGCTGGCACGAAGTGGGCCACCATTGGCCAGAAACAGCAGGGTTTGAAAAACTGATACACTGAAGCCACAGGGTTGGATTTTCAAAAAAAAAAAAAACACTTATGGATCAGGGTTTGAACAAGGTGTGACACTGATAATCAAGTTTTTGAACAGGTGCAACACTGATCACAAGGGTTGCTCAAAACAAAAAATTAGCCCTTGTGGGTAATTCAAAATTGTTTCTACCTGACTTCGAAAAGATCCATTGTGGTGCGCAATGGTCTACATCGGTGATATCAAAAATACAGTTGACCTCGTTAAACTGTATCAAACAAACCCAAACAAAACTGTATGATACATTATTAGTTTATAAATAGCTAGGGGGTTTATCAGGCTGTCAAACTTATATGCTATAGTCTGTGTAGGCTGTAGTGGGGTAGACAATATGGGGTACAACACTTTTAGGTTTTCCTACTTGTACCCACCTGTTTCCTAGTGCATTCATTCCTCGTTTTCTCACATGGTATAGAGCAGGTTCCCTAGTGGGAACGTTTCCTAGGGCCCACCGAAAATCGATTTTTTTTTTTCCTGCCCGGAGCGCGCTTCGCCCCTGCCCGAGTCGGGCCCCTTGTGTCTGCCCTCCCGTCGCGTCCCCTGCCCTTAGCGGCCCGTCGCGCCCTCTTACGGCCCCTCGCGGCCCCTTAGCCGGCCCCTCGCGGCCCCTTAGCCGGCCCCTCGCGGCCCCTTAGCCGGCCCCTCGCGGCCCCTTAGCCGGCCCCTCGCGGCCCCTTAGCCGGCCCCTTAGCAGCCGC